ATTCCTCTGAGGCCTGGTTGGGTAGGACTAATTCTTCAGACTGTTTCTGAATATTTCTAACTCCTATCTCATGTAAATAAAAGTAATTTTACCTTCCCTTTGTAAACTCTTCAAAAGCAACTTAGTTGTTCATTCCCTTTATCAGGGCACATCTTCTACATAAATACTAAATCCCTGTCAAACACAATTTTCCAAAAGGCCCAGAAATGGTAAATATGACAGATTTAACAGCCACGAAATAACACTGCTAAAAATAGCTACTTTGGAAAAAAAAATCTATGCTTAAATTACTGAGAAGCAAAATAAAACAATACTCACCATAGCTTCAACATCAGCCCAAGTTGTATTTTCTGGATCCGAAACCAGAAAGCTCTGAGTTTCATTTTTAAAAGTCACACTTAGAGTAACCTGTGGTTCCATGCTCTGGGGCTACAGTTGGGAGGGTGGGCAAAAGAGAGAGAGAGAGAAGGAAAAACATATATACACACATTAAAAAGGTTCTGTAAACCGAACAAACATTTACGAATACTTGTGAGGATCTATTATGGACTATGCTTGAGAGTGACAGAAGCAAATAGAGAAACAATGTCCTTACTCTTAGGGAATTCACAATTTAATAGGTGTTTTATTTATTTACTCTGGTGCTGGGGATCAGACTGAAGGGGGATTTTCCACTGAGCTATATCCCCAGCCCTTTTTATTTTGAAATAGGTTTTCACCTTGCTGCTTATGATCTCACCAAATTGCTAAGGCTGGCCTGGAACTTGTGATCTTCCTGCCCTCAGCCTCCCCAGTGGCTTGGATTACAACTGTGTGCCTCTGCTCCCAGTTCTAGTAGGTGCTTTAAACCAATTTCATTGTTAAATAGGAACTGCTGGCTGGGTCTAGTGGCACAGGCCTATAATCCCAACAGCTCAGCAGGAGAAGGATCGAGAGTTCAAAGCCAGCCTCAGCAACGGTGAAGTGCTAAGCAACTCAGTGAGACCCTGTCTCTCTGTGCCCCCGAATCCCCCCCAAAAAACAGAAATTGTTCTAGCTGGGCACAGTGGTCCATGCTTGTAATCTCAGCAATTAGGGAGGCCAAGGCAGGATTCTGTCTTTAAAAAAACAAAAAAAAAGGAGGGGGGGTAGGGGGGGGCAGAGGCTGGGGATGTAGCTCAGTTAAGTGTCCCTGGGTTCTGATGATTGAACCCAGGGCCTCACAAGTGCAAGGCAAGCTCTCCCCTTCTGAGCTACGACCCTAGCCTAGAACTATTTCTTCTAAGAAATAAGGATATTAGTGCCCAAACTATGTCATAAAGACTTTGACTTAAATAAAACACAAAAATTTAGTAATTAGAAACCTCCACATTAGAAATAGAAGTTGAGCGAGGTGCAGTGGCATAAGCCTGTTGTCCTAGTTACTTAGGAGGCTGAGGCAGAAGAATTGCTTGAGCCCAGGAGAGGCCAGCCTGGTTAATATAATGTTGAGACCTCATCTCAACAACAACAAAGTCTGCTCAGTATTTAAATTTTGACTACATGCACAGAAATCATCTAGCATGTGTAAAATCTCTAAGGACTGACTGCACTTTATAGGCCCTAGGCAACTTAGCAAGACCCTATCTCAAGAAAAAAATTGGGGGGGACTAGAGTAGATACTAGATTAAGAAATTGTAATGGTATGATAATGGTATCATGATTGTTTATACACACATATATACATATGTATATACATATGTGTACATATATACACAACCATATATATATATATGTATATCTTTTTGGTACTGGAGATTTAGCCCAGGAGTGCTTTACCATTGGGCTATACCCCAGCCCTTTTAATTTTTAAATTTAGCAAGACCCTGTCTCAAGGAAAAAAAAAAATCTTTTTAAACCAGAATAGATACTAGATTAAGGAACTGTTAACTTCTTAGACACAATAATGGTATTATGGTTGTTCATACACACATACATATCCCAGCCCTCTTAATTTAAATTTGAGCCAGGTTCTCGCTAAGTTGCTTATTGTCCCACTAAGCTGCTGAGGCTGGCTTCAAACTTATGATTCTCCTCCTCAGCCTCCTAAATGGCTGGGATTACAGGTCTATGTGCCCAGGCCCAGCTCATCCCATTTTTAATCTGCAGCTACTCAGATTCTGCCCCGCATATAAGCGATATGAGACGAATAAGTCCTGGAAGTTCCCAAGAAGGGGTAGGAAGACTTAAGTCATTTAACTCTGAACAGTCTGTTCATCTCTGAGCTTTAATTAATTAATCTGTATAACAGGACTAATATCTCTGCTTTGCCTATCTCACAATTTTATTGTAGGGACTAAATAAAAATGAGGGGGTGCTGGGATTATAGCTTAATGGTAGGGAGATGCTGGCATGTGCAAAGGCATGGGTTTACTCCTCAGCACAAACACAAAAAGTGTGTGCAAGTTCTTTGAAAACATTTAAAATACAAAATTATTATTATAGTAAACCAGTCCTTAGGGCATTAAAATAGTATAAAGCACTGCCCTGTGAAACAATACACTTGAGGTTATCATTCTGAGAATCTTGAACTCTCTGAAGATTACAGATTTTTTTTAAAAACCCATAAATTTTTTCCCGTTCTTTGTCTTCACCTAAAGTTCAGTTCACTGCCAAAATAATACTAGTCTCTAGGCCCAATCCTGCTGCCATCAAGCATTTATTCACATTGCATAAAATTCTTGGAGTCCTCAAGATTGGTCAGAATTCCTATAAAATTCCCAGGACTTTGTGAAAAAAAATGAGGGGAATGAAGTGATTGATTCAGTCTGCCAAAAGTGACATTCCAAAATACATTCTCACTTTCCAACTTCAAAAAACATTCTTCCCGCCAGGGATGGTGGCACATGCCTGTATTCCAGCAACTCAGGATGCTGAGGCAGAAGGATCTCAAGTTTTGGGACAGCCTCAGTGACTTAGGCCCTAAGCAACTTATCAAGGCCCTATCTCAAAAATAAAAAGAACTGGGAATGTAGCTCAGTAGCAAAGTACCTCTGGGTTCAATTCCCAGTACCCCACCCAACCCCAAAAGAAAAGAAACATTCTTTTACACTTTTTGAGAATCTGGAAGGAAACTAATGTATCCTTCCCTTTTCTCAAATTACACAATTAGAATTAGTTGGATAATCTGGAACTCACCCAGCTGGTTTGCCAATAGCAGAAAACAGGAAGTCAGAGATTCTAATTCAACTGGACCACAGCCAGGTCTTCATAAAGAACTGCCTAACACCGGACGTGGTGACACATGCCTTTAATCCCATCTACCGTGGAACCTGAGGCAGGATGATCCAAGTTCCAGGCTAGCCTGGAAAATTTAGTAAGACTCTGTCTCAAAATAAAATTTATAAAGAGCTGGGGACATAGCTTAGTGGTAGAGTCTTGCCTAGCTTGAGCCAGGCCCTGGATTCATCCACAGTACCAAAAAAAAAAAAAAAAAAAAAATCCATGTCCATCTCTTTTGCTTACATTTGAGAATTCTTTCAGTAAGAGCATTAATCTTGAACTTGTGGAAATACCAAAGCTATAGTTAGTTCCATTTGTTCCTGTAGACTTTAAACCAGTAGAATCAGATAACTCGGGCCTAGAACTTCAGCTTTCATAATTGGTGTTATTATAAGTTCATGCTACTGACTCACCTTCACTTGGCACAAATCAGCTTTTCCTCTATGCAGATTTTTTTTCAGCTTCAACAAATACTTTTAATGAAACCGACCTGAGAACCTAATCTTTGATTACTGTCTTCACCAGAAGCCTGTGCAAGCTATCCAGGCTTTCAAATGTGTGACCTGAAAACTAGATAGTCGACAAATAGGAAAGAGTGACTTTCCAACACCAAAAGTCTCAGACCAAGGAGATCTCTTTAAGAGGGTCTCAAAAAAATAATAAAAAATAAAAAAATAAAAAGAGGATGGAATGGGGAAGGTGTATGGGTAATGTCATTTCTTTCTTGCAGTCTTAATCCTAGTCTTCCAATTATCGTTTCCTAGTACTCGATGTCCCCAAGACAGTGTCACCACCCCCTCAGGGCTCTCATTTTCTTTGCCTAGGAGCTTTTGAGCTTTTGAACTGGAGAATCTCGGTCTTCCTTCGGAAGAAACCCAGCGTTCTGATTCACGGACTCTCCATCCCTCCAGCGGTATCCACCCTCACGATCCCTCAGAACACGAATGGCTCTCTCATCTGGTCACTAAAAAGATTGGCTGCCCTAGACACGGAAAAAAGTCTCTCCTCTTTTCAGGAGTCTCCTCTGAACTTTCCCAAGCCCTCTTGGTGCGACGTGACCCCACACCAAGGTAACCGCATTTGCTTCCTTACCAGCTCACTGCCCCCGGGGGGCGCTTGCCGGAGGCCAGTGCAAGGACCGTCCGCTTCTTGGCCTGCTGTTATCCCTGCGGGGTGAATCTAACATGGCGGATAGAGACAGGGCCTAGTCTTCTGTTTCTCTGAGTTTCCAAAAAGATGATTGGCTCTGACAATTTGTCCCTCAAAATTATTACCCTGCTGATTGGTTGAAGCTGCGTTGGCGGGGGCGGTGCAGGACAAGCCTGAACCTCACAACAATAACAAACACTGGGCCGAAGGGGCGGAACTACAGGTGCGCAGACGTGGGCATGGGCGAATTTCCCCTTCCTAGGCGGAGCGGGTAACTCTTGCTTTTCCTCAGTTCACTGACCTTAGAGGACTACTTGCCTGAGACTTGCAGGGCTGATGGGAATTGTAGTCTTTCTAACGTTTAGTCCAGTGTCCACTCTTAAGACGCGAAAAACACAACACTGCAGTCCATAGCTGTTGATGTACATAACGTGAAGAGGTCTCCAATCTACCGACTGGGTTGCCTTAAGAATTGTGTCCGCTTCCGGTGTCGGAAGCTCCTCTTCATAAGACTACAGTTTCCAAGAAACACTGTAGCGAAGGCCTTTCGTTCCGCAATGCATGCTGGAAGTCGCAGCCCCTCCTACCCCACTATCCTCTTATTTACCTAAACTGAAGACTTCCATTGCAGTGGAAGGTTGGGGGCGGGGAATGTAGCCTCATTTCCACTGCTTTGGGTACTATGTTGCGCTCTTATTCGAGACTTAGATGACTATTCCAACACTTGTACCGTAATTACTGTGATGTAATACCCCACAGCTGGAAACTTAGAGGCAAGCTGGTGCGCTCGTAATAGAAGACTCAATTCTTTCTCTTCCGTCTCTCGCTCATTACGTCATTCAGGGAAAGAATGGATAACCAATCCCGAGCCCCGAAAGACCCTCGACCCTTTTATGCCCCGCCCTTCCTCCAACGTGTCTTGATCTTGCATTCTGAGAGGCTATCGCTCAGCTGCAAAGGCCAGTTTCCTTGGCGACAGAAAGCGCGGGAATTACAGATAAATTGAAACTGCGACTGCGCGGCGTGAGTTCTTCGAGACTTTCTGGATAGTCCATCCCCGGAGCTTTCTCAGATATCTGGGCCCCTGGGCCCGGGAAACTTGGATGCTTTGCTCTGGGTAAAGATGGAAGAGCCCTAGGGACGGGCTCTCACCAAAGAGTATTCATGGTGACAGGCGGGAGGCTGGTGTGAGAATAGCGTCTCCTAAAGGAGAGCAAGACGGGTGTTATTTGGCTCGGGGAGAAGGTGCGGCGGACGGATCCTGAAGGGCCTAAGACAGTGTGAATCTGAGCGAAATCCTGGGAGGGGAACAGTTTGTGGATTGGAAGGGGCGCTCTCAGGATAGGAAGGCGGCACAATGTGTTGGAGGGAAAATCCTGGTGTTAGAAATTGGAATGTGCCTTGAAGGGGACACCATGAGTATAAGAATATTGGCTGGTAAATGTGAGGAGAGGACCTTGATGAAGAGGAGCAGACAGGATTTTGCGGAAAAGAACCCTTAAGAACTGGATCTGGCTGGACGCGGTGGCCCACTCCTGTAATCCCAGCAATTTCGGAGGCTGAGGCAGGAGGATGGCAAGTTTCAGGCCTGCTTCAGCAATTTAGCGAGACCCTGTCTCAAAGGAATGAATAAATAAAAAGGACCGGGGATGTAGCTCAATGGTAAAGCATCCCTGGGGTTCAATGCTTAGTATCAAAACGAAAAACCTAACTGGATTTTTATGCGTTTTGAGTTGGGAGTAGAAGGAAGTACATGTTGGGGGACATCAGTAGTAACAGGTGCAACTGGCTGAGACATTTGTGGAATATTGTGAAATGAGTGCAGATCATTGGGAAACACTGGGGAAGAGGTGGAGTAGGGAAGGGTTGACGTGTATTGGTTTTATTGTTGGTGGTGTTTTGGGGTGCTTGTTAAGAGGTGGAGTCTTCTGTTGCCCAGGCAGACCCCTGAACTCCTGGGCTCAAGAGATCCTCCTGCCTCCGCTTCCAGAGGAGCTGAGGCTACATGTGCATGCTATCATGGCTTGCTTGCTTTTGGTTTCAAGCAAGAAAAAGAAAACAGCCAGGATGATGGAGAAAGCTGACAATACCACCCCACACCCAATCAGTCACCCACCGTGGCTTTCCTTTTCTTGGAAAAAGGAGAAGACCAAAGGAAGGGGTTGGAGGCTATGTATGAGTGAATTGAGAATTCAAATAGTCTAATCACAAAAAGCAACTGCTAGAATTTTTTTGAATGAAACCTTTGTCATTTGGTCTGTGGTTGAAATAATTATATAGTACTCCAGTCTTAATTTTCTTTTATTTAGAAATGATACTCAAGATGCTGTTCTTATAAACCTTCTAAAGAGGTTTATTTACTTATGTTTTGTATTTTATGTGTTAAAGTTCAATGGAACAGAAAGAAATGGATTTATCTGCAGTTCGTGTTGAAGAAGTACAAAATGTCCTTAATGCTATGCAGAAAATCTTAGAGTGTCCAATTTGGTAAGTCAACAGAAGAGTTTATTAGTTTGTGATTCTTCCTTGTATGATTATCTCTTAAGCAAATGAGAAGAATTGACCATACATAGTTGGAAGGAAAAAATATAATAAATCTATTAAGATTGGGGTGATTGGGCTGGTGTTGTGGCGCAGTCATAGAGCACTTGCCTGGCATGTGTGAGGCACTGGGTTTGATATTCAGCACCACATAAAAATAAATAAATAAAATGAAGGTCCATGGACAATTAAAAAAAAAAGATGAGGGTACTTAAGTCAGCTCCCTTTTTCCCCAGTTTACAGACTGTCTGGATTAGTGCTGCATTGGAACAGGTATCTGTTTTGGATTAAGTGGTACTTAGGCTTTTCTTCCAGCTCTAAAGCCAGCTTGGTTGCTTGAATGGGCATAGTTAACAGAAAAATAAAATCATAAATGCTTGGTGTCTCTGAGATGATTGATCTTTGGAATAATATTTGATGAAAATTGACCCAGTTATTTAAATAACAAAACCTCAAGTAACAGAAGTGTCATAGCACACAAAGTTTGGGGCCAGCCTGGGCAACTTACAAGACCTTGTCTGAAAATTAAAAATAAAAAGGTCTGGGGATATAGTTTAATGGTGGAGTACCCCTGGATTCAATCCTCAGTGTTGCAAAACAAACAAAAAAAAAACTGAAAGTGTTTGAAGGTTTTTAGAAGGTCTGATTCTGAGTGAGTCTTTGTTTCTCTCCATTTATGAAATGAAGAGAGGGCTGGATTATTCAATTTTTTTTCTTTTTCTTAATTGAGGTAAAATTTACATACAGTAAAATACAGAGATGTTAGGTGTGCAGTAGAGATGTTAGGTGTGCAAGGCAGTGAGTTTTGACAAATTATATATCTAGGGTTGGGGAATGTGGCTCAGCAGTAGAGCACTTATCTAGCACACTGAAGGCCCTGGGATCAATGTACAATCAAGATATAGAACCCCGGGGTTGGGGTTATGACTCAGCGGTAGAGCGCTTGCCTCACACTTGCAAGGCCCTGGGTTCAATCCTCAGCACCACATAAAAGTAAATAAATAAAATAAAGTCATTGTGTCCAACTACAACTACAAAAAATAAATATTAAAACAAACAAAAAAAACCTTGCCATTATCTGATAAAGTTTCTTTGTGTATATTCTGGAGTTCTTGTAGACCCTCCAGGACCCTTGTAGGTTAGATTTTTGTATAATTTTGTATCTTTAGGCATAAAAGCATTACTCAGGGTTGGGGGTATTGGTCACTGGTAGTGCACTTGCCTAGCATACTCTAGGCCCTGAATTTGATCTCTGCAGAAAAAGTAAATTAAAAAAACTTAAAGCATTACTCTGAGAAGGAGTCCATGATACAACAAAGGTTAAGAACTACTAAACAGATATAGTTTCTCTTAAATCTACTAAATAGATGGGAATCCATATTTTAGACCCTTTTGGTAAAAAAACAAAAAGGAAAATCAGAAAAATTAGAATTATTGCCACTCTCCTCTCTGGTCTTTCTTGAGACTTTGGCTTTTTAACTGTTCTTCATATATGACATATTCTGCCTCTGAACTGTTGTATTTCTTGTTCCCTCTGCCTAGAATTTCCTTCCCCTAATAATTGTGTGGCTTAAAAATCTTGTTTCAGGGCTGGGGATGTGGCTCAAGCGGTAGTGCGCTCGCCTGGCATGCGTGCGGCCTGGGTTCGATCCTCAGCACCACATACAAACAAAGATGTGTCCGCCGAGAACTAAAAAATAAATATTAAAAAAATTCTCTCTCTCTAAAAAAAAAAAAAAAATCTTGTTTCATATACCACCTTTTCAAAAAGTATCTCCAGGCAATCCTATTTAAAATTATAATGTCCCAACATGCCCCTTATCCCCCTTTCATGTTTTATTTTTCTCTGTAACTATCTGACTTATGTATGATTTATTCATCTCCCTACAGAATATAAACTCTATGAGGACAAAAGTTTTTGTTTGTTTGTTTAATTATGTATCTTCAATAGTTAGAATAGTACTTAAGATATGGAAGTCACTCAATAAGCTAAATTAATTGATAAACTAAATTGATTCTTTGATAGTTTATTTTTATTTTTTTCTTGGTGCTGGTGATTGAACCCAGGATTTTTTAAATGCTAAGTACATGTTCTACCACTCAGCTACACCCCAACCTCAGCCCCATTATTATTATTTTTTTTAAATATAGTGATGATTAGTAGTGGGTAGCACTCAAAAATAAATTGAGGCAGGCATGGTAGCAAGCACCTGTAATCCCAGCAACTCATGAGGCTGAGGCTAGAGGGTTACAAGTTTGAAGCCAGCTTCAGCAATTCAGTGAGACCCTCAGCAACTTAGCGAAACCCTATCTCTAAATAAAAAAGATTTTGTAAAAAGTTGTACCTCTTACCCTTTACCCTCAATGAAGAAGAGAAAATTCAAGTAAATTTGCTTTCATGCTTCATGAGAATTGTTTTTCATATTTGGACTCAAGTTAATAAGATTAAAGAAAATACAAGTTGTGTTTTCAGGGAAATAACGCAATTTATAAGTAATCATTCTCTTACCTCTCAACATTTCAGCTTGACAAAAACAATAGATAAATAAAATTTACAGCCTAATTTATGAAAAATCAGAACCAGGAAAGCAGGAAATAACATTGTAGGGAGATAGCTGCTTTTTTAAAAAAATCACAAAACATATATGATAATTATAGTGATCAAAAAGTTTTCAATAATGTGGCATCTGGGTCCATTTATTTTACATTCTCATGGGACTCAGTCATGAAAACATAATGTGCTTTCTCATTCTGGCAAGTTAAACCATCAATTTAAAAACTTACACATTGAGCTGGGATTGTAGCTTAGTGGTAGAACGCTTGCGTAGCACATATGAGGCACTAGGTTCAATTCTCAACACCACACATAAATAAATAAATTAATTAAAGGTCCATCAACAACTAAAAAAAAAAAAAAAACTTACACATTGCCAGGTGCACTGGGCACATCTGTAATTCCAGTGGCTATGGAAGCTGAGGCAGGAGGATCTAGAGTCAAAGTCAGACTTGCAAAAGCAAGGTGCTAAGCAACTCAGTGTGACCCTGTCTCTAAATAAAATACAAAATAGGCCTGGGGATGTGGCTCAGTGATTGAGTGCCTCTTGAGTAGCTAGAATTAAAGACTTGCACTATTGCTGGGTGCAGTGGTGCACAGCTGTAATTCTACAGGCTCAGGAGGCTGAGGCAGGGGGATGGCATGTTCAAAGCCAGCCTAAGGAACTTAGTAAGACCCTGTCTCTAAATAAAATATAAAAAAGGGCTGGAAATGTGGCTCAGTGGTTAAGCGTCCCAGGGTTCAATCCCCTGTACCAAAACAAACAAACGAAAACCTTTCACTACTGCCTCTGGTCCCAACTTCATTATTTTTTTCACAGTGCTCAGAATAGTACAATAGTACAATTTGCAGTTATATCTTTTTTTTTTTTTTCTAGTCTGGAACTCCTAGGCTCAAATAGTCCTTCCATATCAGCCCTTCCACCATCTGTAATTATAGGCCTTTGATACTATACCCAGTTCAGTTGGTAGTTTTTTTGTGATAACTGGTTACTCTTTCTAACTTTTTACATGTAAGTATGTAAAAATTTTGACTTTTCAGAAGAATTTGCTAAACTGTGTAGTCTAGTCAGGCACACTGGCACATGCTTATAATCCTAACTACTCAGGAAGCTGAGACAGGACGATGCCAAGTTCAAGGCTACCCTGGCAACTTAGCAAGACATTGTCTCAAAGAATAAAAAGGGCTGAAGAGCTGGGCATGGTTGTGCATGCCTGTGATCCCAGTGGCTTGGGAGGCTGAGGCAGGAGGATCGATGAGTTCAAAGCCAGCCTCAGCAGAAGTGAGACACTAAGCAACTCAGTGAGACCCTGTCTCTAAATAAAATACAAAATAGGGCTGGGGATGTGGCTCAGTGCTTAAGCACCTTGAGTTTAATCCCTGGTGCCAAAAAAAAAAGGGTGGTGTTGGCTGAGGGTGTAGCTCTGTTAAAACACTCCTGGGTTCAGTCCCCAGCACTATACCAAAAAAAAAAAAAAAATACCCTGGTGGTTTTTTGTTTTTTAAACCTAAACCTAACTGCTTTTTCTAGTAACTTCAAAATGCAAATATGCAATAGGCTCAAATATTGCCTGGTTTAAAGAGTTTAAGATATATATTTTTAAGTTTTTAAAAAATATTTATTTTTTAGTTTTAGGTGGACATAGTATCTTCATTTTTATATGGTGCTGAGAATTGAACCCAGGTCCTCCTGCATTGCTAGGCAAGCACTTGACCACTGAGCCACAACCTCAGCCCGAGTTTAAAATATTTGAATCACCTTTATAGTAAACATTTATTCTCATCAGGACTGAGACGGGGAACATTTAAAAATTTTTTTCTTTTTTGCTCCTGTTTGGTCTTCAAGATCTTCTTTCAGTAGTCATTACCTTTTTACATATTGGAGTTTTCATCCGTTCAGAGTTTGTGTTTACAGTATGTTTGTGTAGCTTGGATTATAATTACCATACTGAAATATAATTATTTCAGAATTGAGTCAGTGGTGAGAATGTAAGCCATCTGGTATCATAGCTAAGTCCAATTTTCTCTTTTACTGAGAATTTCTTTCATATCTAGCTTTAGTAATTTAGTAACAAATTGGCATTCTTTTTTTTCTTTTTAAAATCACATTTGGTCTCAATAATAATACTGACTTTGGTACAAGTCATCTCATATTGTGAAGCAGTTGCCCAAGTAACGTTAAATTTTATTTTCATAATAGTCCCAGAAGACTGGAAGGATAGGTGACAGAAGGAAACTGAGATTCATGTAGAGGACTTGGCCCAAGGGTATGGTGCTGATTAAAAAAAAGAGAGAGATAAATGGGCTTAGGGATGTAGCTCAATGGTAGAGCATTTGTCAAGCATGTAAAAGGCCCTGGGTTCAACCCTCAGTACTATAAAGACAAAAAAGAGATGAAGAGAGAACTGATAGTGGAAACCTAACCTTCTGACTTTGGCCAGTACTTTTCTTTTCATTGCCCTGTCCTGCGTCAAAAACCCCATGATTACTAGAGTTGTATTACCAAATCCTTTAAAACAAGGCTATTGTCCCCCCAGCTTTTCTTGTGATCCTTTTCTAAAAAGTTAAACATTTAATGAAAAGAACCATATTCCTCTCAAATGACCAGATTATACCCCTTCTTTAATGTCCTGTCTAGATTTGACCACCAAAGTTCAGTTTCTAAAGCTCTCATTCAGTACGAATCTAAATAACAGATTCCTACCTGTTTAGGCTTCCAGCTACCTCTCTACTTCTTCTACTATTTCATCCTAGTACCCTGGCCTACCTGCTGTCTGCACAAACACCAGGCATAATCCTGCTCGGGGTTTATCTTTGCTCCCTCTGCTGGGATATTCTACCCACAATTATTGTATAGCTGATTTCATCACATTATTCAGCTGTCTTCCATTGTCACTTTCTTAGGCCTCTTATGACCACCCTATATGTGTGTGTGTGTGTGTGTGTGTATATGATCCTCCTGCTCCACGTATCCCAAATCACTGAGATTATAGGCCTGATACCACTCTTCCTAGCCTTAAGTCTCTTTTTCTATAGATTTTTCCCTCCTGTTTTTCTTCCTTGTCATTTGTCAAAAACATATTTGTGTGTGTGTGTGTGTGTATCCCCCATTACACACACATTGCACTCCGTGTCCCCTTTGTCCTGCCTTATTTGTCTCTTTAACATTTCCCCATCTGTTCTTATTTGTCAACTGCCTACTGCAACTGGAATAAAAGCTTTATGAGGGGAGGCTTTATTTTGTTCACTGTTATATTTCAAAACCAGTGCCTTCCTGGTAGATGCTCAATACATGTTTGTTGTATTACTTAATGAATTAATTTCAAAAAGGCCTTGAAACTTCTTGGATAGACAGGTAGGGATGGGAATTTCCTTTAGTGAGTATTAGTTACATTGGGGTTTTTTTGTGTGTGTGTGTAATGCTGGGGATTTAACCCAGAGGTGCTCTACCCCCAGATCTTTTTTTTTTTTTTTTTTAATGTAAGAAAGGATCTCACTAAGTTTCCCAGGATGGCTCAAACTTGCAATTTTTGTACCTCAAACTCCCGACTCACTGGGATTATGGACATGTACTGCCTCATTCAGCTATATCACATTGTTTTTACCAAGTAATGGAAAATCAAAAATGACCCTTCCGAAGTGACGTAATAGAAGTACACAGTACATCTGTAAAGTGTTCTTGCCAAACAATTGAATCTGTCTTTGATTGAGCTTGTCGGTATACTTTACAGAAAATAAAGAGGCTAAAAGAACATGTTAAATCACAACATAGAGTTACAATTAGCAAAATCCAGAATATGGGAAATTCTGAAGGTCAGATGATCTTTTTACTTATTTATTATTTTTGTGTGCTGACGACTGAACCCAGGGCCTTACATGCTAGACAAGTGCTATACCACTGAGCTATACCACCAGCCCTTGTTTTTTTTTTTAAGTTTGTTTTTAGTTGTCAATGGACTTTATTTATTTATATGTGGTGCTGAGAATCAAACCCAGTGCCTCACACATGCCAGACAAGTGCTCTACCACTGAGCCACAACCCCAGCCCTTTTGTTATGTTTTTGACATAAATGACAAGGAAGAAAAACGGGAGGGAAAAAATATAGATTAAAAGAGACTTAAGGATAGGCACAGTGGTACAAGCCTATAATCCCAGTGGTTTGGGATACCGAAAGCAGGAGGATCACAAATTCAAGGTCAGCCTGGGCAATTTAGGAAGAACTTGTCTCAAAAAAAATGTAAAGGGGCCAAGTATGTAGCTCAGTGGTAGAGTGCCCCTGTACCACCAAAAAGAGAGAGACTTAAAACATAGCAACTAAATACAATGTATGAATCTTGTTTGGGTCCTGATTTAAACATATCTTACTATTTAAAATAATTTTTATGGGCTGGGGATGTGGCTCAAGCGGTAGCACACTCGCCTGGCATGCGTGCAGCCTGGGTTCGATCCTCAGCACCACATACCAACAAAGATGTTGTGTCCACCGAAAACTAAAATAAATATTTAAAAAAATTCTCTCTCTCTCTCTCTCTCTCTCTCTCTCTCTCTCTCTCTCTGTCTCTCTCTAAAAAATAAAAAATAAAAAAATAAAATAATTTTTATGGGGCTGGGGATGTGGCTCAAGAGGTAGTGCGCTCGCCTGGCATGCGTGCGGCCCGGGTTCGATCCTCAGCACCACATACAAACAAAGATGTTGTGTCCGCCAAGAACTAAAAAAAATAAATAAATATTAAAATTTTTTTAAAAAAATGTTTAAAATAATTTTTATGAGACAGCAAAGCAACTTGGAACATTAGTTATATATTAAATTATATTAAGGCAATTCTTTTTAGAACTAATAATGGTTTCATGATCATGCTAAAAAAGTGTCTTTTTTGAGAATATAATTAAAATATTTATAGAGGAAATGATATGATGGCTGGGATTTGTTTTAAAATAATCTAAGATAGAGGCAGGTATGGATAAAAGAAGATTGGCCATTTGTTGAAATCAGTTGATGTACCGGGAGTTTATTTTACTATTGTTTTTTTTGTGTGTAAATGCTCAAAAATTCCTACACTGAGTTACAAAAACAATCACATACCAAAAAAGTATTTTGAGGGAATTCAAAAGAAATACATATCTGTGTGGGATGCATTTCAAGATCCCTAGTGGGTGCCTGGATATATTGAACCCTATATATACACTGTTTTCTCCCCTACACATACATAAACTAAGATAAACTTTCATTTTCTCACCTAAAGCATTTTATGGCTTTACTTTGGTATATCCAAATTGCCAGCATCACTGTTCTTGTGCTTTGGGGCCATATTAAATCAAATAAAGATTACCTGAACACAAGCATTTTCATACCCTGACATTCAGTACAATAAACAAGACTTCTACTAAGTGACTAACAACAAGAAGCAAATACAACCTGAATACATGGTCCAGAAGGGATGCAGCGTGATTTCATGGTGTTACTCAGGATGGCATGCAATTTAAGACTTACTGTTTATTTCTAGAATTTTTTATTTAACATTTTGGGACCATGATTGTCTGTTGGTAACTTAAGATTTTAGAAAGTGAAACCAGGAATAAGGGGAAAGTAATGTAAGAGGAAATTTTTTGTTTTTATGGAGTTTCATCAGGTTGTAAAATGCATACTCAACATATTAGCTCAAAAATATATATCAGTGAAAAGTAATTAATTGAAGAATTATCAGCTGATCTTTTTTCAGTGCTTACAATTAAATATAGAGTATTAAGTTCACATAATTCTGTTTTAATGTCTGAAAGTTCAGTAAAGTTAAGGATCATATTTTCTGCTGTATTCTTAGCTCCTAGCATAACAGACATTTAATAAGAATTGAATGAACTTAAAGTCATACTTTGACTCAGTTATAACTGCTTAAAGTTGAACTTCTTTACTAAAAGTTATTTATTTTTAAATAAATTATTAAGCCTTATTTATTTTCTCTTGGTTTTTTTTCCCCCTACCCCTCTAGTCTGGAATTGATCAAAGAACCTGTTTCCACAAAGTGTGACCACATATTTTGCAAGTAAGTTTGGGTGTTTTTGTGGCTCCATTATTAGCTTTTGTGCTTATTCTTTATAACACAGGAAACACCTAACTTTATAGAATCTTTAGTTTCTTCAATTAAATGCAACATAACCCAATTGTATTCATTCTTCCTCAGAGAATTACTTAGGAAGTCATCATAAAGTGATTGAAGCCATAGTTCCTACATAGCTTATCTGTATATAAAAAGTGTTGTAAGGGGCTAGGGTTGTGGCTCAGTGGTAGAGTGCTCGCCTAGCATGCACGAGGCACTGGGTTCAATCCTCAGCACCACATAAATGTAAACTAAAGATATTGTGTCCACCTAAAACTTAAGAATAAATATTTTTTAAAAAATGATATAAAATCACTTTAAATAGCTGTTTGGTTTTTGTGTCCAAGGATAAAAGCAGTTGTGAAACAAGCAAATTGTTTTTCAGCCTTCCCAGTTTCTCCTTTCTATTCATTTCTGCATGCCCTTCTCTTTTCCCTCTTCTAAGGTTCAGTGCTTGCCTGCTTTATCATCTTTGCAAAGATAGGAAGGGTTCTGAAATTAGTTTTTATTTAGGCTGAAATTCATTCATATCAGTGATTCAACTTACACAGTCAGCCTTCCATCTGCCCTCGAAATCTGTAGGCTCTCTATGCTTGGATTCAACCAAACATGGGTCAAACTATTCAGAAAAAAAAAAAAAATGTCTGCACTGAACGTGTACAGACCTTTTCATCATTCTCTTAAATGATACAGTATAAAAACTTTACACAGCATTTACGTTGTATTAAATATTATAAGCAATCTAGAAATGACTTAAGATTGTATGTATTTATATGCAAATACTATTTCATATAAGGGATTTAACTACTAGGAGATTTTTGGTATCCATGGAGGAGTCTTGGAACCAATATCCTCTCATAGGGGATGAGTGTATTTACATATTTAAGGATCTTGCCCTTTGAAATGAAAATGTCTCTTAATTGAAGAATTTCAGGAAAAGTAGTGTAGGTAATTTAGTGAAACATGACTTTCTCTTTTCCTTGATGTTAAGCTATTGATTGAGTCTTACTCTGAATGTCAGTTTGTTTAAAGTAATTTTTCCTTTAATTGAAAAAGCAAGCCATGTACCTAGTTATGAGTTTATTAATATAAAAAATTACATGATACACAGTATGTTTTCTTCCCACCCAAGAACCCCACCTCCTGCTTTCCTCCCCAGAGTTGACCATGATTACTAATTTTCTATCATTTCGGAACTTTTAAAATTCAAGAGTTCTTAATTTGTTCATGAATAGTCTTCATGAATGTCCTAAAATTATATTCAATTTAAATCTTAATTACATTAAAAGCTATGAGCATGTACTTTTTCTGGGAAAACAGTCCATAATTTTGATCAGTCTTAGGATGTTTCCATAATCTAAAAAAAGGGAACAGCTGCTGCTTTAAGGATAATGAGTGCTGGCTGAAGCTGTAGGAAACCTGTTCCTTTGGAGGCATACCCTCTGAGCACAAGTCTGCCAATTGGCTGGTGTCTTCCTTCCTCTGAATTCTATCTTATTCTTTCTTTTTTTTGTCCCAACAAAGACCCAGAGGCTCATTTCCATTGTCTTTTTACTCCTTTCCCATGTTACCCCACTGGTTTAAATCTGTTTCCAACAGTTTTCTTGTGATTCTTCAGCCCAGTTTCTTCACAGATCGGTAACTTTGTGAAACAAAATAATAAAGTCCTAGTTAAAAGTTGAAAGAAAGTTGGAAATTAACCTTTGTTTTCTTCTTTTTTTAATGGGGATGAATTTTGGACCAAAGGCCTCCTGTATAACTAAACCAGCATTGTACCACTGAGCTGTATACCCAAACCTAAAGGGTTCGTCTTTTGTTTTTGTGGTTCTAGGGAATGAACCCAGGATCTCACAAATGCTACACAAACGCTTTACCACTGAGTGCCCCTAACCTTTTTTATTTTTGTATTTTGAGACAGAATCTTGCTAAATTGCTGAGGCTGGCCTTAAACTTTTGATCCTTCTCCCTCATTAACACTGAATAGCTGGGATTGTGGGTATGCCCCACTACACAAGTAAATGTGATTTTCCTTGTTTCTTTTTTTGGTACCGGGGATTGAACTCAGGGGGGGAATCGAACACTGAGCCTCATCCCCAGCCCTTTTTTGTATTTTATTTGGAGACAGGGTCTCACTGAGTTGCTTAGTGCCTCACTGTTGCTGAGGTTGGCTTTGAACTCCCATCCTCCTACCTCGACCTCCTGAGCTGCTGGGATTACAGGCATGCACCATCCCTGTTTCTTGATGAGTATCTTTTTGATATACACTATATGCTTTCTGGTCATCTTGACTAATGAATACTGAATATAATATTGTAATATTAAGAAAAAGTTGAATTGGGGTTTAGCATATGTCAGGCCTTGGGTTCAATCTCCAACATGGCTTTCTTCCAAAAAAAGAAGAAAGAAGAGCCAGGCATGATAAGGCATGTCTGTAATCCCAGCTACTCAGGAAGCTGAAGCAAGAGATCATAAATTCAATACCATCACAGGCCACTTAGAGCCTATCTTAAAATAAAAATGGCTGGGATGTGGCTCAGTGGTAGAGTGCTTGTCTAGTATGCGCGAGTCTCTGGGTTCAATCCCCAGTACTTCAAAAAATGAGGGGAGGGAAAATGGACTAAATTAGTTACTTTGAAGGAGCTTATAGAAAAAGAAAATTACAGGCAGAGGAAGTAACACGAACAAAGGTAGGAAGAGAAGAAAATAGAATATATCTAAGAAAAAAGGACCTAACTTTGCATATGTTTATTGTGTTAAGAGAGGAATGACCCCTCAGGGAGGAAAAGACATTAAGAGAGAAGGTCCAAGAAAAGGCAGAATGGATTGGAAATGAAAAATGGATACAAAAAAAAAAGACAGGGGGCTATTACTTATAAGCAATAATGAATAAAAAGGAGCATGATTCTACAGGAAGCTTTTGCAGGAGAATAAGGTGGTTGACCTTGTTAGAGATGGAGAGGAAGACAGTTGTTGAGATCGAGATTGAGAGAGTTTGTGTTTTTAAGTAATTAAGAATGAAGAAGGCTTGGAATTCCTAAAATAGACTTATGTTAAGAACAGCCAGTCATATGTTGTGTTTTGAATGATAGACTAGATTAAAATCCAATATAATGTCTGCTTTGGTTTGGATATAGTTTGACTGTGTCCTCAAAGGGTTCATATATTAAAATTTAACTCCCATTGTAAGGTACTAAGAGGTCGGAAACTTAATCTATACTGTTGGGGGGGGGGCGTGCTTTAGGAGATGATTAGGTTTAGATAAGGTCATCAGAGTGGAATACCCTTTACCAAATACTGATAAGTTTATAACAAGAGAAAGACTAAGGGCACACTTGGTACTCCCCATAACTTGTCATGTGATTCATTGCACAAACTGCCAGCAAACAGGCCATCAATAAATGCCTTGAGCCTCTTGAACTGTGAGCGAAATAAACTTCTTTCTTTCTTTTCTTTCTAAGATTATCTAACCTTAGGTATTTTGTCATAGAAATACAAAAATGGACTAACACAATGCCTATGTAATACATCAAATTTTTCATGAAATTTCTTCTGTATTATCTTTATAATCTATATAATACCTTGATCTATATAATGAGAAAGCTGGGAAGAATATTCCCAAGCATTAATTGTGCTAACTGAATTTTCTATGGGTAAACTCTGATTGCTGAAAATAAAATAGTTTTATTGACCTGGGTAACTATAGAGTTCTGAAATATTTAATGAACTTTACCCAAAAGATAATAGTACTAATCTAAACAAAAAAATTACCTAGGACATTCATTACTGACTTGAAGTTTTCAAACAATGAATGAAATATATAATACTTTCTAGAAGAGCTAAAATCACATGTGAATCATAAATGTAACTTAAAATTTCTAATAAACACTAAGTTGCTGAGTGCCTTGCTAACTTGCTGAGGCTTACCTTGAACTCGTGATCCCCCTGCCTCAGCCTCCCAAGTTATTGAGATTATAGGCGTGTGCTTATACCTGACTAATAACCACATTTTAAAAAGTAAAACGAAATAGGTAAAATTAATTTTAATTATATATTTATGTAGTTTATATTATCTAATTCAATTGTGACTAAGATTTTATCATTTCAAATTATAATCAATGTAAAGAATATTAATGAAACAAGGAGTGGTGCCAATTGAATTACATGCCTGTAATCCCAGTGATTTGGAAGGCTGAGGCAAAAGAAATGCAAGTTTAAGACCAGCCTCAGCAACTTAAACCCTGAGTTTTCTGTTTTTGGGGTTTTTTTTTTTTTTTTTTTTTTTTTTTGGTACTGGGGATTGAACTCGGGACACTCAACCACTGAGCCACATCCCCAACCCTATTTTGTATTTTATTTAGAGACAGGGTCTCACTGAGTTGCTTAGTGCCTTGCTATTGCTAAGGCTGACTTTGAACCCGTGATCCTCCTGTCTCAGCCTCCCGAGCTGCTGGGATTAGAGGCATGTATCACCTCGGCTAAACCCTAGGGGATTTTTGTTGTTGTTTGTTTGTTTGTGATACTGCATTGAAACCAGAACCTTGCACATGGTAAACACTACCATGGTGCTCTACCACTGAGCTACACCCACAGTCTGGCCTCAGCAACTTAGACATGTCTCCAAATAAAAAATGAAAAGGCCTGGGGATATAGCTTAGTGGTAAGAGTACAGTGAGGTTCAATTCCCAGTACCACAAAATATATTTATATATACTAATGAGATATTTGACATTCTTTTTTTTTTTTCCCTTGTACTAAACCTGCCTTTTTACATTGTTTGAATACACCTAAGTTGAGACTAGTGACACTGTAAGTGCTCAGTAGCTGTATATGTAATGGTGCTATATTGAACAGTGCACCTCTAGGAACTTACTACTCAAAGTAAAGCTTATGTGTCAACAGCAATAGCATCACTTAAAAGCCTGCTAGAATCTTATCCCTGCCCTAAACCTACTGAATCAGAATCTTCTTCTTTTTTTTTTTTTTTTGGTACCAGCGTTTGAACCAGTGGTGCTTAGTCACTGAGCCATATCCCTAGCCCTTTTTTATATTTTATTTAGAGACAGGGTCTCTATGAATTGCTTAGGGCCTTGCTAAGTTGTTGAGGCTGACTTTGAACTCATGATCCTCCTGCCTTAGCCTCGTGAGCTGCTGGGATTACAGGCATTCGCCATCATGCTGAGCAGAATCTTCATTTTAACAAGATGCCCCAGGAGAATTTTTTTTCCCTCCGACAAGGTTACAATGTTGCCCAGGCTACTCTGGTTTCTAATGTACATTAAAGTTTGAGAAGCAGTGCTCTGGAATGATGAGACCTTCTTGTACATTTTTTGGTGTATAATAAGATGAAATAGACTAAGGGTGGTTGAGTTCTAAAGACCAGATAGACCAGACAAGGTATGTCATGAAGTGACCAACTGTGGAAATCCAGTTAAGTGGTGAGTTAGTGTTAGGCAGGTTTAATACCCAGATTATTAAATCATGATTTCAGACAATTATTGTGTCTAGTAATGGGTTTGGTGTATCAGAAATAGGCAAGAGATGGCTTATCTAGCAATGTATATTGAACAGTCTCTCAGGAATCTAGCAGCAGAAATGAGAAGAAATTCAGAAGCAGGGATCAAGCCACAGGAGGGTGAGGGTTAAGGGTAAAATTCTTGTCCCTAGGAGACAAAAAGCCTTGACCCATGGAACTAGGATACCAAGCAGGAAATCTAGGCTGAATCTTCCAAATGAAGAGCTCAAGACAGATGTAATTGTTAGAACTAAAGTACAGACAGTAGGTTTGCTCGAGAAAACAAAGCTTTGCCAAGCAGAGTATGTATGCCTGTAATCCCAACAACTCAGGAGGCTGAGATAAAAAGATCAAAAGTTCAAGACATCCTCTGCAGTTGAGCAAGGCTCTGAGCAATTTAAGTATGACCGTGTCTTTTTTTTTTTTAGGTTTTAAAGTAACTTTTTTTTAAAGAAATTAGATTTTTTAAATTTGTTCCAATTAGTTTTACATGACAGCAAAATGCATTTTGACTCATTGTACATAAATGGAGCAGTTTTCATTTCTCTGGTTGTACATGATGCAGACTCACACCATTTGTACAATCATGCATGTACATCGGGTAATAATTACCGAAGACCCTGTCTTAAGATAAAAAAGGACTGGGGTAAAGCTCAGTACAAAAAAGGAGGGGGAGGGAGGAAGGGAGGAAGGGAGGAAGGAAGGAAGGAAGGAAGGAAGGAAGGAAGGAAGGAAGGAAGGAAGGAAAAAGTCTTATTGTTGAAATGGACAAGATTTGGTGGAACCAGTCACAGGATATGTATTTTCCTTCTTAGAGGATATATTGGTCCACAATCTTATCTCTGTTGACAAGGCAGTTAGGAGAGTAGGAATCCTGAGTACCCAAGATAAACAAAGGTAGCCAGAAATCAACCTGTCATTATTTTGCCAATTTAAGATGAATTTAGTGTTCTCTGCCAGAATAGACTTGGACAAGCATTAATAAATTAGATAAGTTTCTTCAACATTGTTAAACTGCTTGGAGTATAGATGTGCCCCAAACTGAGTACTCTGAAAAATCTCCAGAATTGGTTTGTGGCACTGTGATTTGCTGTTTTCTATCTGCTGAAATCACCTTTCAGAAAATTTGCATTTGCTTAAAAAATGCATTGTCGGGCTGGGGTTGTGGCTTGGAGGTGGAGCACTTGCCTGGCATGCGTGAGGAACTGGGTTTGATCCTTAGCACCACATAAAATAAAAAATAAAGTATCGTGTCCACCTGTAACTAAAAATAAATATTTTTAAAAAATGCATTACTATTTGTTTAACCTTTGGGCTTTAGCAATCCAAAAAGGCCAAAACTTGCCTCAGACCTTTTCACTGAGAACCTTATTTAAAACTTATATATATATATATTTTTCTTTAATTGGTGCATCATGTAGACTCCCCAGAGCTCTAAAACAGATTTTTTTTTTAAGAGAGAGAGAGAGAGAGAGAGAATTTTTTTAAATATTTATTTTTTAGTTTTTGGTGGACACAACATCTTTATTTGTACGTGGTGCTGAGGATCGAACCCAGGGCCGTGTGCATGCCAGGCGAGCACGCTACCGCTTGAGCCACATCCCCAGCCCCTCTAAAACAGAATTTAATGAATTCTTTTTCTGAGTCCTGAAGGGTATGCCAATGTTCTGTTGATCTGTCAGTATTTTCCTTAGCTCAGTCTTTTCATGTCATATACAATTCATTTTCTCTTTTGAGTTTAATTTTATGTGCTCTTTTCCTAACATAATGATAGATTAGAATCCCTTCTTGGTTGATTTTCACATACCTAGTTCCCTTGCATTGTTTATGTAATTCTGTAGGCTGTAAGGCTATATAGCTTGTCATTATATAACTTGTCACTATATTCTCAGCACTGATCATAGAATTTCCTTCTTACCTCTACTATGAATTGTTTGATTGTACCATTGTCAAGATAATACATCACTGCCTCCATGACCCACATTATACTTGAGTGCAGGTAGTATTTGCATCTTTACAGGAGTGGTAGGCTCTATCCTGTGTCTTTAAAGAGTACCTATATGCAATTCTTGGGTTTTTTTTTTTTATTTTTGGTGTCTTTTTGTTTGTTTTTGTTGCTACTGGGGATTGAATTCAGTGGTGCTTTACCACCACGCTACATCCCCACCCCTTTTTATTTTTTTATCTTAAGACAGGGATGCACTAAATTACAGAGTCTGGCCTTGAACTTGCAATCCCCCTGCCTCAGCCTCTGAGTTGCTGGGATTACAGGTGTGTGCCCCTGTTCCTGGCTCCAGGTAGCTTTTGTTTGTTTGTTTTATTTTGCTATTGGGGATTGAACTCAGGGGCACTCAACCACTAAGCCACATTCCCAGCCCTATTTTGTATTTTTATTTATTTATTTATTTATTATATTTTTTTTTTCTTTTTAGGTGTAGATGGACACAACACAATGCCTTTATTTTTATGTGGTGCTGAGAATCGAACCCAGGTTCCGCCCATGCTAGGCGAGCACTCTACCACTGAGCCATAATCCCAGCCCCACCTATTTTGTATCTTATTTAGAGACACGGACTCAGTGAGTTACTTAGCACCTCACCAATGCTGAGTCTGGCTTTAAACTCATGATCCTCCTATCTCAGCCTCTCTAGCCACTGGGAATGCAGCACCACCGCACCTGGCCCTGGGTAGCTTTTTGACATCTTCATCCCCAAAACTACAGAATCATTATTGAGTACAATATGGTAGTTGAAGCATTTCTGTAGGTATAGAAGGACAAAGTCTTCATCAGATCTCTATACATTCACTGACTCAGAAAGACCACGAGAAAGACCTCGGGCCTGTTGCAGTTCAGTACTAGATCCAGTATCACCTTCACCACTTGATTACTGTGATTTGGGAAAAGTCTCTATTTTAAATGGAGGTAATTTTTTCTAAATATTCATAGCAATGTTACTGGTTTTTTTTTTAATATTTATTTTTTAGTTTTAGGTGGACACAATACCTTTATTTTATTTTTATGTGGTGCTGAGAATCGAACCCAGTGCCTCATGCATGCTAGGCGAACGCGATACCTTTTGAGCCACATCCCCAGCCCCTCTTTTTTTTTTTTAATATTTATTTTTTTAGTTGTAGTTGGACACAACACCTTTATTTCACTTGTTTATTTTTGTATGTGGTGCTGAGGATCGAACCCAGGGTCTCGCACATACGAGGCGGGCGAGTGCTCTACCGATAAGCCACAACCCCAACCCCTAAATGGAGATAATTTTTTAGGGTTATTGTGTGGATTAAGAGAGGGCAATACACATATCCAGGACATACATCTCCCTGACCCTAACCCTGGAAAAGAGTCTGTGTTCACCAAGTGTCCCTATCAGGAATTCACCAACCATCTTGTAAAACCCACACCAGTGTGGGTTTTTTTGCGGGGGCGGGGGTACCCAGGGATTGAACTCAGGGGCACTTGGCCACTGAGCCAAATCCCCAGCCCTATTTAGAGACAGGGTCTCATTGAGTTGCTTTGTACCTTACTTTTGCTGAGGCTGGCTTTGAATTTGTTATCCTCCTACTTCAACCTCCCGAACTGCTGGGATTACAGGCGTCTTCCATCGTGCCTGGTGGTTTTTAAAACCTGCACCAGAGTGGGTACAGAGGATCCAGACTCCAGCTGTGGCTACAATATAAGGTTTTTTAATACAAGAAAAATAAAGTGAATGTAACCCGTTTAAAAAAAGAGAGAGAAGCCAATACATGTGGGCTAAGGATATAGCTTAGTTGCCATTACCACTGAGCTACATCCCCAGCCCCAGGTGCTGAATTCTTTAATGAATTATAATCATTTTACATGAACTACTTACCATTTATTTCTGATTATGCAATATGAAATAATTATGAATATATCATTAAATATGCCATATTAACTTTTTAATAAGTTTTATTTGATCATAACCTTAAGCTATATGCAGGTAAGTTCAGTTTTCATAGATCATTTCTTACATAGTTTGGTTTCCTGCTTATGCAGCATCTAAAAAAATTAGAGATAACCATTGGTTGTAATTCACCTGTCATTACTTTTTAAATGATTCTTCAGGGCAGTTATGAGATTATCTTTTCATGGCTGTTTGCCTTTTGAATGTTCTCTCCACAAAAGAAAGCAATTTGAATTGTTCTTTTCTTTCTTTATAATTTATAGATTTTGTATGCTGAAACTTCTCAACCAGAAGAAAGGGCCTTCGCAGTGTCCTTTGTGTAAGAATGATATAACCAAAAGGTATATAATTTGTATAATGGTGGGAGGTTGGAAGCAACAATGGCAGGAAAACGTAAAGATTCTTTGATAGCATAGCTAGTGTTCCTAAAAAACTATTCATCAGTAGAAAAATGTATAAAAGTGTGTTTAGCAGACAGAGTAAATTATTTCTAAGGTTATTTTCCTGAAAGTTTTATGGGACATCTGCCTTACAGAGCGAACTGATGCCTTTATTTTCCCATCCAAATACCAACCAGGCCCAATCCTGATAATCTTCCAACATCAGAGGAGATCAGGCAATGGTAATGCTGTAGACAACTTATTGCCTTTTTCTAGTGTTTCTGAATAATGCAAGGACTTGCATTCTTATCTAAAGTACAGCAGCACAATCCTGCCCCAATTATCCACTAATCCTGCTTTTATTTTTCTTCATTTCATTTATTTCTACCTAATTATTTACCTGTACACATGTATTTATATACACATGTATTTATTTATATATCTTTCTTGCCATAGTAGAAGTTCTGTTAAGACAGTGACTTTGTCTATCTTGATCCATAATGTCTCTCCAATGTCTGGAATGTTGTAGGTGCTCAAATATTTAAAAGAATGAATGAGGGCTAGGGTTGTAGCTCAGTGGTAGAGCGCTCGCCTCGCATGTGGAAGGCACTGGGTTCGATCCTCAGCACCACATACAAATAAAACCAAGGCATTGTGTCCATCTACAACTAAAAATAAAAGAATGAATGAGGGGCTGGGGCTGAGTGGTAGAGTGCTCGCCTGGCATGCATGAGGCACTGGGTTTGATCCTCAGCACCACATAAAAATAAAATGAAGGTATTGTGTCTACCTGCAACTAAAAATATATATATTTTTTTAAATGAAATAATTGGCTGGGTGTGGTGGCACATGTCTGTAATCCCAACAACTTTGGAGTCTGAAGCAGCAGGATCAGGAGTTCAAAGCTAGCCTTAGCAACTTGGTGAGACCCTAAGCAATTTAGCAAGACCCTGTCTCAAAAAAAAAAAAAAAAAAAAAAAGGGCTTAGGATGTGGCTCAGTAATGAAGTACTCCTGTGTTCAGTCCTCGGTACCAAAAAGAAAAAAATATTAACACTGCCACACAATATATTCTGATGTCAATGATATGTTAATTATAGTGCAATGTCACTAATAGCTCTAGTTTTTAAATACGGTTTTCTACCATAGCTGTAGTAGAAAACAGTTATAATCTTATATTTATTTGTTTATATTTCTTTCCTTATTTAATGTCCTTAAAAAATTGATAATCAGGGCTGGGGTGTGTTCAGTGGCAGAGCACTTGGCTGGCTTGTGTGAGGCACTGGGTTTGATCCTTAGCACCACATAAAATAAGTTGATAATCACTTGCTAAGTGTGCCTCTCAAACAATTTAATTTCAGAAGCCTACAAGAAAGTACAAGATTTAGTCAACTTGTTGAAGAGCTATTGAAAATCATTCATGCTTTTGAGCTTGACACAGGATTACAGTGTAAGTATTGCATAGCCCCAGAGGCAGTGCTGTCCTTAAATTCTTAGGAAGTCTGAATAATTATTTTCTGTGAACAGATGATAAGACCTCCTTGGTCTAGGTTAATTTTAGCTCTGTATCTGTGAATCTATATTTTAAATCACTCCTATTAATCTCAGACCTTATTTTATTAATCCTGATATGCACATCTTAACATCTCTGAAATTGGTAATATTTTAGTATCAATGGTGTGTTATTGTTTAATGTTTTTTTAGTGACCCATAAAATAATGGTTTAGCTTACATCATTGCTATCTCATAGTCAGTGAAATATGATATTAATAGGCAAATTTGTTAGTTTTAGGTGGACAAGAAGAAACAGAAATCACTTTGACCGTTTGTATGTGTTTGTTTTTTAGGAGTAGAATTTCCAAAGTTGATTTTTTAGAAAATTAAGGTAAACTTAATGCATTACCTTAACACAACAAAGCACACACAGGATATTTCTTGGTTTCTTTAATGAAAATTAATGTATTTTTTTCTAACTGAAAAAATAATGTGTTCCAGGCTAGGGATATAGCTCAGTGGTAGAGTACTTTCTTAACACGCATGAAGCCTAGGTTTGATTTCCAGCATTCCAAAAATAAGAAAATAATGTGTTCCCTTATAATTTATAGTTGCCAACAGTTATAACTTTCCAAAAAAGGAAAATAACTCTCCTGAACATTTAAAGGAAGAGATTTCTATCATCCAAAGTATGGGCTACCGAAACCGTGCCAAAAGACTTCGAGAAAGTGAACCTGAAAATCCTACCTTGGTAAAGCCATTTTCGTTTATTCTGGTAACATTTCTTCATTAAATATTGTGAATTAGCGAATGAGCTAAATGTTCGTGGCATTATATGAAGTATCAGTAAAGAAAGGAAAATGGGCTGGGCATGATGGCACATAACCTGTAATTATAGCTACTCGAGAGGCCGAGGCAGGAAGATCACAAGTTGGAAGCCAGTCTTGGCAATTCAGTGAGACCCTGTCTCAAAATAAAAAAGGATTTGGGGATATAGCTCAGTGGGAGAGTGCTCCTGAGTTCAGTCCCTAGTACTGGGGGAAAAAAAAGGAACGTGGTAAATTAAGTGGTTGGACAAGTGTTCTAATCAATAAGAGTTCAAGGAATTTGGAAAAGTCAGGGTGACTGGTATGTCGAGAGAGACATTTTAGGAACTGACCCTACTTTGGAGCTTTATCAGCTCTGATGCATGTCAAAAATAGCTTCAAGGGGCTGTGTTTGTGGCTCAGTGGTAGAGCACTTGCCTAGCATGTACAAGACCCTGGGTTTGATCCTCAGCACCTCATTAAAATAAAGGTATTGTGTCCAACTACAACTAAAAAAATAATAAATATTAAAAAATAATAGCCACAAAGTCCCTGATCTTTTTAAGCATTTGAAAAGTGCTTTAAGCCAGGCATGGCTATTCCCAGCTACTTGGGATGCTAAGGCAAAGAATCTCAAGTTTGAGGTCCAGCTGGACAACCAAGCAAGACCCTATCTCAGAAACTTTTTAAATGGGTTGGAGTTGCTAGGAATGTAGCTCAGTAGCAGAGTGCTTGCCTAGTATGTGTGAGGTCCTGGGTTCAATCCCCATGTCACCAAAAAAGGGGGCTGGGAAAATAGCTCAGTAGTAGAATGCCCCTGGATTCAATTGCCAGTATCAAAAAGCCAAAACAAACTTCAATTAAAATGTGTAATCAAAGAAACTGCAGTTATTTGCTCTGATGTTAACTAATATGTGAATGCATAATGGATATCTTAAAAATAACAGGTCTTATGGTATTAACATTTGTTTTTCTGTAGAAGGGCAAAATAGGAAGCAGAAAAATCTTCATTAAAGCAATGTTGGGCCAGGTGCCATGGCGCATACATGTAATCTGAGCAATTTGGGAGGCTGAGGCAGGAGGATTACAAGTTCCTCAGCAATTTAGCAAGGTCCTGAGCAACTTAGTAAAACCCTGTCTTGAAATAAAAAAGTTTTTAGAAGTTCTGGGGATGTGGCTCAATAGTTATGTGCCCCGGGTTCTATCCCCAGTAACCTGCCCTCCCCCCAAAAAAAGTAATGTTGAATGGTGCTCAGTGGCAGACACCTATAATCCCATTGACTTGGGGAAAAAGATGACAAGTTCAAGGCCAGCCTAGGCAACTTAGCATAGACCCCATCTCAAAATAAAAAATAAAAAGAACTGGGTATGTAGCTCAGTGTGAAGCACCCCTGGGTTCAATCCTCAGTTCAAAAAAGCAATGTTGGGACTTTTAAATATTGTGTTACTAAATTTGTTCTTAGGTATACTGGGGTTTTATTATCATCATTTCTCTCTTTTTAAAATTTATCTTAGTTGCTAACCCTTTCATCAGATGTGGTCATAAGTATATATCAACTATTAGCTTAAAAAAAAAATATATATATATATATATATAGAGAGAGAGAGAGAGAGCCACTGGGATGACAGGTATGTGCCACTGTACCCAGCAAAATATACTATTTTAATACTTTAAGAATGTACATAATGGGACTGGGGTTGTGGCTCATTGGTAGAGCGCATGCCTTGCATGTATGGGGCACTGGGTTCAATCCTCAGCATCACATAAAAATAAATAAAGGTATTGTGTCCATCTACAACTAATAAATGAATGAATGAATGAATAATTAGAAATGTATAGAATGGTACATAATCGGTTTGGAAAATTTTTAAACAATAGAAAGAGAGGAAAAATACTCAACTCACAAATAACCCTGACATTTTAGTGAGTAGTTTGTCAGGTTTTTTCCCAGGTATCATAAATTTTATTTATCTGATTGTGGTGGATTTGTTTTGCCCATGGTCTCAAGTTTCTCTTTAGGAAAAAAGCACTGAACTGGCCATCCATTTGTTGACCATTCTTTACTGTACTGCTTAGCAGGAAACCAGTCTTAGTGTCCAACTCTCTAACCTTGGAATCATGAAATCTCTGAGGACAAAGCAGCAGATACAACCTCAAAATAAATCTGTCTACATTGAATTGGGTAAGGTCTCAGATTTCTTAAGTGTAGAATAATAGTTGCTAGATTGCTTGTCTTACTGTTTTACCAAAAACCTTAGTCATAATTTATACATGTGACAGGGAACTTTTGGAAGTGAAAATAAAATAATTTTATGGGCCCTATGGTGAGTTATAAATAGTGTAAAAGATGCAGTTTACACCTCAAAGAGTCTTACTTTATAAAGGGAGCAAAAGAATGGTTATAAGCTAGTGTGAATCAATTTTGGAAAAATGGAAAATAGCAGTAAGAAAGAACATGATGGGTTTCTATATCATTTAAAGGGATCCAAAATAATTTGTACTAGATTAGTAAGCCATTTAAAAACTAACCTGGGGCTGGGATTGTGGCTCAGCAGTAGAGTGCTCGCCTAGCACAGACGGGACCCAGGTTCGATCTTCAGCACCACATAAAAAAATAAAGGCATTGTGTTGTGTCCATCTACACCAAAAAAATAAATATTAAAAAAAATAATAAACTAAGAGTTCAAAAAAGTCTAATTGCCTTCTCTCTTAGAATTGGGAAAGGCGGTCCTCTTTTGAACTTTTAAAGACTGCCATGTGTTTCCTTAACACTTATTGGATTTCACTGAAATTACCCATATGTCTCCCACCCATAAGATAATAAATTCATGAGCAATAGGTATATGTCTCAAAAATAATTATATTATTTAATATTTAGGACCACTTACTTGTATCCCTGGCACTGTTGGTTTTTGTTTTATAACTCATTTAAAAATGCATGTCAAACTTCTGAGGTTGTAAATATGTATACTTATTTTACAGATGAAGAAATTAGTCACAGAAGTTAAATATTGCTAAGTTAGTAAAGCTAGTAAGTGGCAGATCCATTTTTTAAATAAGCTTCAGAAATAAGCTTCAGAGCCTGTACTTTCTACTTCTCTGTGTTGCATGACTAATCTGTCTTGCTTGCCATGTAATATAGATGTTCAGTAAATGTTTCTAAGTGAATGAATATCTACTTTGCAACAAGTATATTTTTCAAATTTAACCCTTCTAATAAACAAAAACTGACTGATTTTTTGGGGGGGGTTTTGATGGATATTTTTAGGATCTGATTCTTCTGAAGATACAGTTAATAAGGCAAATTATTGCAGGTGAGTCAAAAAGAGTCTTTGTCTATGAAGCTGTTTTTTTTTTTTTTTTTCATATTTAACATTTAGGATTAGTATTTTCCTAGATTTGAGTGAAGTCCTTGGAAGAAGCTTTAGAGATCATCTTATCTTATCTCCCCTCATTTTATATCTGAGGAAATACTGTTTTTGTTTGTTTCCTTTATCCAAAGGACCTTAAGATAACAGTGAAACTCTATACAAGATGGTTATTTTCTAGCTGATTTTCTCATATGTAGTATTGACCCAATGGTAATTGCTAATGGAATTATTAGAGGATTTTATTTGTAGTTTTCTTTCTTTCCTCAGTTCTTTCATTTCACCTATTCCCAAACTTTATCTATATAAGTAACATAATAATCTATAAGGGACCCCCAGTTGGGTTACCTGCAAGAATGCTTTCCTTAAGAATTATTGCTTGACCCTGATTAAGATAAGTGATCTGAATTATGGTGATGTCATTAGCAATCAGTTTTTGTTTAAAAATTACTTTTTCCTAATCTTGAAATTAGAAGGACATTATTCTTGGCCAGAAAAGAAGCAAAGAAAGCAATGAAGCAAAGTAGTAGTTTTTGCATTTCATTGGAATGCCTGCTCTTCTAGTGCTTCCTTTGTTGTTTTTTGCTCCTACCTTCTCATTAATATACACTTTTTTAGCTGGGTGTGGTAGCACATGTCTGTAATCCCAGTGTCTCAGGAGGCTGAGGCAGGAGGATTGCAAATTCAAGGCTAGCCTCAGCAATTTAGCAACTTAGCAAGGCCCTAATAAGCAACTTAGTGAGACCCTGTCAAAATAAAAGGACTAAGGATGGGGCTCAGTGATTAAGTGCCTGAGTTCAATCCCCTGTAAAAAGAGGTTTTTTTTGTGTCCCTTTATTTTTCTTTCAATACCAGAGGATTGAAACAGAGGCTCTGTACCACTGAGCTACACCTCCAGTGCTTTTTTACTTTTAATTTTGAGACAGTCTTATTAAATTGCTAAGGCTGGTCTTGAATTTGCAGTCCTCTTGCCTTAGCTTTCCAAGACTCTGAGATTATAGGCATGTGTCACTGTGCCCAGCTAAAATATTCTTTTATTTTGGGGAACTGGGGTTGAACCTAGAGGTGCTTAACCACTGAGCTGTAACCCAATCAGTCCTTTCTACTTTTTTTCTTTTTTTTTTTGGTGTGTGTGTGGGGGGGGGTGGAGAAATGGTTACTAAGGATTGAACCCAGCAGTCCTTAACCACTTTATTACTGAGCTACATAAGACGGAGTCTCACTACATTGCTTAGGGCTTCACTGCATTGCTGAGGCTGGCTTTGAACTTGTGATCCTCCTGCCTCAGCCTCCTGAGCCTCTGGGCTTACAGGTGTGGGCCACCATGCCCAACTAAGCATTTTTTAAAAACTATCTTTTAGCAGTCATGTAAATTGGGGCTCTCATTTGCATCTTTATAAAGCAATGTTCTGTCTTGCAGCTTAACTTTTGTGACTGGATGTTCTCAGTCTAACCATTTCATTTTGATTAGAGGTTACTTAAAGGAAAGACCAGGAATCACAAAATGAGTCAAATTGGTCAGCAACTACAGCCCTACCTAGAGAAGTTAAAATATTTGATCTTGCTCATTTGACAGTTCTATGAACATATAACTAATGATTCTAATTAAGGCTTCTGTGTTTTCCTTATAGTGTGAGAGACCAGGAATTGTTGCAAACCACCACTCAAGGAGCCAGGGCTGAAACCAGTGTGGATTCTGCAAATAAGGGTAATGGCAAGTCTTCCCAACTTAATAGACACTGAAGATAGAGAACTATAGATAGAGAACCCAGGCATCATGCATGCTAGGAGAGGACTCTACCACTGAGCCACAACCCCAGCCCTGCCTTTTACTTTTAATAGACATATTTGTATTTCAGTTTTTTCCAACTTCTTTCTAAGTGTATGGAATATGAGTGTGTAGATAGAATAGAATACTGTGTGTCTGATGACCAAACAGACTGCATTTAATTCACTGTTAGAAGTTGGGGGATAGGAGATGTGGTTTATGCATAGGGAACATTCTGAAATTGACTTTTTAATTGGCTTGAGGAGAATAATGAGAATTTAGTCAAATAGAAATTATTTGAAAGAGCATGAGTTACATCTTCAGTATATTTGGTAGTTTATGATATTAGTTGCTCTAAAACTAGTTGCTTGATTTCCACTTCCAAGTTGTATTAATTATGTATTTATTTATAATAATTCAGTTTTTAAGCATCTTGTTATTTTTATATATTTTCAGCTGCTTGTGAGTTTTCTGAGAAGGACATAGCAAATATTGAACATCATCAATCCAGTAATAAAGATTTGAACATCATTGAGAAGCATGCAACTGAGAGGCATCCAGAAAAGTATCAGGGTATTTCTGTTTCAAACTTGCATGTGGAGCCATGTGGCACAAATACTCGTGCCAGCTCATTACAGCATGAGAACAGCAGTTTATTACTCACTAAAGACAGAATGAATGTAGAAAAGGCTGAATTCTGTAATAAAAGCAAGCAGCCTGGTTTAGCAAGGAGCCAACAGAGCAGATGGGCTAAAAGTAAGGAAACCTGTAACGATAGGCAAACTCTCAGCACAGAGAAAAAGGTAGATCTGAATGTTGATCCCCTATATGAGAAAAAAGAACCAAGTAAGCAGAAACCTCCATGCTCTGAGAATTCTAGAGATACCCAAGATGTTCCTTGGATAACACTAAATAGCAGCATTCGGAAAGTTAATGAGTGGTTTTCCAGAAGTGACGAAATGTTAACTTCTGACGACTCACATGATGGGGGTTCTGAGTCAAATGCTAAAGTAGCTGGTGTATTAGAAATTCCAAATGAAGTAGATGGATTTTCTGGTTCTTCAGAGAAAATAGACTTGTTGGCCACTGACCCGCGTAATGCTTTAATTTTTAAACGTGAAAGAATCTGCTCCAAAGCAGTTGAGAGTAATATTGAAGATAAAATATTTGGGAAAACCTATCGGAGGAAGGCGAGCCTCCCTAACTTGAGCCATGTAACTGAAAATCTAATTATAGGAGCATTTGCCACAGAACCACAAATAACACAAGAGCGTCCCCTCACAAATAAATTAAAACGTAAAAGGAGAACTACATCATGCCTTCATCCTGAGGATTTTATCAAGAAAGCAGATTTGGCAGTTGTTCAAAAGACCCCTGAAAAAATAAATCAGGGAACTGACCAAATGGAACAGAATGATCAAGTAATGAATATTACTAATAGTGGCCAAGAGAATGAAACAAAAGTTGATTTTGTTCAGAAAGAGAAAAATGCTAACCCAATAGAATCATTGGAAAAAGAGTCTGCTTTCAGAACTAAAGCTGAACCTATAAGCAGCAGTATAAGCAATATGGAACTAGAATTAAATATCCACAATTCAAAAGCACCTACGAAAAACAGGCTGAGGGGGAACTCCTCTACTAAGCATATTCATGCGCTTGAACTAGCAGTAAATAGAAATACAAGTCCACCTCATCACATTGAATTACAAATTGATAGTTTTACTAGCAGAGAAGAAATAAAGACAGGAAATTCCAACCAAATGCCAGTCAGGCATGGCAAAAAGCTTCAACTCATGGAAGATGCAGAACCTGCAACTGAAGTCAAGAAGAGTAACCAGCCAAATGAACAAATAATTAAGAGATATACTAGTGATGTTTTCCCAGAACCAAAGTTAACAGGCATATCTGGTCTTTTTACTAACTGCTCAAGTTCTAGTAAAGTTAAAGAATTTGTCAATCCTAACCTTCAGAAAGAAGGAACAGAAGAGAACATAGAAATAATTCAAAGGTCTAATAATACCAAAGACCCCAAAGATGTGCTAAGTGGAGAAAGGGGTTTGCAAACTGAAAGATCTGCAGAAAGTACCAGTATTTCATTGGTACCTGATACTGATTATGGCACTCAGGACAGTATCTCATTACTGGAAGCTAACACTTCTGGAAAAGCAAGAATAGCATCAAATCAACATGTTACTCAGTATGTGGCAATCGAAAACCCCAAGGAATTTATCCATGGTCATCCTAAAGATACTAGAAATGACACGGGGGGTTACAAGAATTCATTGAGACACGATGTTAACCACATTCAGGAGATAAATGTAGAAATGGAAGAAAGTGAACTTGATACTCAGTATTTAGAGAATACATTCCAAGTTTCAAAGCGTCAGTCATTTGCTCTGTTTTCAAATCCAGGAAATCAAGAAAAGGAATGTGCAGCTGTCTATGCTCCCTCTCAAACCTTACAGAAACAAAGCACAGAAGTCAATCTTGAATGTGAGCAAAAAGACAAAAATTGGGGAAATAAAGAGTCTAAAATTCCGCATGTCCAGGCAATTAATGCCACTATGGGCTTCCCTGTGGTTTGTCAGAAAAATAAGCCAGGTGATGATGCCAAATGTAATATTACAGAAGTCTCTAGAATTTGTCCTTCATTTCCGTTCAGAGGCAGTGAAACTAAACTTATTACTGCACATAAACATGGAATTTTACAAAACCCATATCATATGCCATCAGTTTCTCCCATCAGGTCATCTGTTAACACTAAATGTAAGAAAAACCTATTAGGGGAAAAGTTTGAGAAACATTCAAGGTCACCTGAAAGAGTAGTGGGATATAAGAGAATCATTCAAAGTGCAGTGAGCACAATTAGCCAAAATAACATTAGAGAAAGTGCTTTTAAAGAAGCCAACTCAGGCAGTATTAATGAAGTAGGCGCTAGTACTAATGAAGTAGGTTCCAGTGGTGAAAACATTCAAACAGAACTAGGTAGAAACAGAGGACCCAAATTAAATGCTGTGCTTAGATTAGGTCTTATGCAACCTGAAGCCTATAAACAAAATCTTTCTCTAATTAATTGTAAATACCCTGAAATAAAAAGACAAGGAGAAGATAAAGTAGTTCAAGTTGTTAATACAGATTTCTCTCCATGTCTAATTTCAGATAATTTAGAACAACCTATGAGAATTAGTCCTGTCACTCAGGTTTGTTCTGAGACTCCAGATGACCTGTTAGATGATGATGATGATGAAATAAAGGAAAATACCAGCTTTACTGAAGGTGGCATTAAGGAAAAATCTGCTGTTTTTAGTAAGAATGTCCAGAGGGGAGAATTTAGCAGGAACCCAAGCCCTTTAGCCCATACATCTTTGGCTCAGAGTCACCAAAAGGGGGCCAGGAAATTAGAGTCCTCAGAAGAGAACACCTGTAGTGAGGATGAAGAACTTCCCTCCTTCCAACACTTACTATTTGGTAAAGTAACCAAAACACCTCAGTCTACCAAACACAGCACTGTTGTGACAGACTGTCTGTCTAAGAAAACAGAGGAGAACCTGGTATCATTTAGGACTGGTGTAAATGACTGCAATAATGAGGTGATACTGGAAAAGGCCTCCCAGGAACATCACTTTAGTGAGGAAGCGAAATACTCTGGTAGCTTGTTTTCTTCCCAGTGCAGTGTATTAGAAGACTTGACAACAAATACAAACTCCCAGGACCCCTTCTTGATGTTTGATCCTCTGAAACATCAGTCTGAAAACCAGGAAGTTGTGCTGAGTGACAACAAATTGGTTTCAAATGATGAAGAAAGGGAAACTGGCCTAGAAGAAGATAATCACCAAGAAGAGCAGAGTGTGGATTCAGACTTAGGTATTAGAACCAGATTTTTGTGTTTGCCTCTGACTGTTTTATAAAATGAGCTAAATGTTTATGCCTTTGGGGGAGCACATTTTATGAATTTCCAAGTACAGTTACTTAAACTTGAAACATGTTTCTTCTAAGATTCTTTTCCTTAAGTCAGAAGTCCTTCACCCAGTTATCACATCTTCCCTGATTGAATGAGCTTTAATATCCTATTTGTTGGTGGACTTGCTTCCAGTTTTTATTGTTAAAGAGTTGTAAGAGGAAATCCTGGTAGCAAGGAGGTTAATCATTTTGTGTGACATGAAGATGAAACCAGTCCTGCCAATGGGAAGAAACAGTTAAAGCAAGTTGCAATTTTTATAGTCTTCCTACATCTGAACCTCTGTTTTTATTATCGTTTAAGGTGAAGCAGCATCTGGCTATGAAAGTGAAACAGTCCTCTCTGAAGATTGCTCAGGGGTGTCCTCGCAGAGTGATATTTTAACCACTCAGGTAAAAAAGGCATGGGATGGGGCTGGGGATATGGCTCAAGCAGTAGCACGCTTGCCTGGCATGCGCATGGTGCTGGGTTCAATCCTCAGCACCACATAAAAATAAAAAAATAAAGATGTTGTGTCCACCAAAAACTAAAAAATAAATATTAAAAAAATTTTTCTCTCTCTCTTAAAAAAAAAAAAAAAGGCACATGGGTACTTATGTGGTATCCTCTGCATTTAGTGGTATGTATCCACATTCTTAAGTCTGCTGATATCTTCCTGTGAATTAATGGCATAACAATTAAGTATGATGCCTTGTTTCCCCAAATCAGATTATAAATACCTTTGTGGAACTCATGTCATACACATACATATACTATCTAGCTCTCTGTAGAACACTAAGTACTAAATTTAATAAATAAGCTGAACCTTGAAAACCATATGCCCTGTTACAAAACATATAAAAGCACTTTGGTATCCAGAGAGAGAGGTGATTAATCTTGGTGCTTAATTGGAGCCTGTAGGGCTCTCTTCCCATTAGAGACTATCTAGTATTTCACTGTTTTGTGCTTAATTTTTTTATGTTTATGTCTTTTATGTGAAATCTATTGAGTTTTCTGTAGTGCCCGTAAGTCATCTTTAATAACAATAACAAAAGGGCATAATTTGGAACCCAGTAGATAAGGCCAATAATTTGGTTACTTTTTTTGAGTGTATATGTGGTACTGGGGGTTGAACCCAGGGGCTCTCTATCACTGAGCTATATCTGCAGCCTTTCTATTTTTTTATTTTAAAATAGGGTTTTAGGAAGTTGCTGAGGCTGGCCTTGAACTTGTGATCCTCCTGCCTCATCCTTCTAAGTTGCTGGTATTACAGGCGTGAGCCACCCACACTTGGCATAAATAAAGGTCTATAACAACTAAAAAAATTTTGAAAAAGAAAAAAAAAATTAGGGGACTACAACAGATAAACAAGAATCATCCATGGATGAACCTTGAAAACATTAAATAAAATGTTATATTCCAAACGACAAATATTGCATAATTTCCCCTTATATAAGGTACTTAGAATAATCAAATTTATAGAAACAGAAGATAGAATAATGGTTATCAGAGATTTGGGGGAGGAGGGAGTAGAGAGTTCCTTGTTTAATGGGTACCTGTTTCATTTAGGGAGGAGGATGATGATGATAAAGTTTTGGAGATAGTGGTGATGGTTATAAGACATTGAGAAAATACTTAATGTACTGAACTGTACTGTTCAAAATGGTTAAGATGGTAAATTAGGGGCTGGGGTTGTGGCTCAGTGGTAAAGTGCTTGCCTAGTGAGGCACTGGGTTTGATCCTCAGCACTGCATAAAAATAAATAAATAAATGTATTGTGTCCATCTACAACTTAAAAAAAAAAAAAAAGAAGGTAAATTAGATAAATTTTATAAGCTATCCAGAGATGGTTATAGTAACTCATTGGTCTATATCCACTGAGTCTTCTTTCTTTGTGTATAGGGTGTTTATGTATACCTTATCATTATTTATTTATTTATTGGTGTTGGAGATTGAACCCAGTCCTTGTGTATGCTGAACACACTCATTACAACTGAGCTATGCCCCCAGCTCCTACACCTTATCTTTAAAAAAAATCATTTAGATAGGGGCTAGGATTGTGGCTCAGTGGCAAAGCACTTGCCTAGCATGTGTGAGGCTCTGGGTTCAATTCTTAGCACCACATAATAAATAAATAAAATAAAGATCATGTCCACTACAGAATAAATAAATAAATAAATAATACTCTACATACTTACATTGTAATTTAATTTTTATTGTGTCATTAAAATTCTTTAGTGCCTTTAGTTTTAATTATTATATAGCATTTTATTCTGTTGGGTGTATTATGATTTATTCAACCTATTGTTAAATGTTGAAGATTTCAGGGTAACAGTCACAGTTTGCTGTTATGTATGATACTATGGTAGACATCTTGATAGTTAAATATTTGTCCACATCTCTGATGATTTCCTTTGTATAAATTCCTGGAACTGAATTTTTTTTTTTTTTTATCTTTGATACATATTGTTAAATTGACCTTTAGAAGGATTAAACCAAACCAGACAGATGGCACATGCCTGTAATCCCAGTGGCTCGGGAGACTGAGGCAGAAGGATCACAAGTTCAAAGCCAGCCTCAGCAATTTAGTGAGGCCGTAAGCAACTTAGTGAGACCCTGTCTCAAATAAAAAAGGGTATGTAGGGATGTGGCACAGTGGTTAAGCACTCCTGGGTCAAACTCTAGTACCCCCCCCCCAAAAAAAAAAGAAAGAAAGATTAAATCAATCTGTGCTTTTTTCCAGCCTCTGTGGTATTTGATGGTTCCCGTTTCCCTGTACCTTTGCCCACACTGGTTAGCATCCAATTGTAAAATCTTCCAAATCTTGGCATTGTTGTGAGGAGCAGAGATAGAAAGGACATGTCTCCTACTGCCTATTCTCTGTTAAGAGTAAATCCCTAGTCCTGAAGCCCCTTGGAATCAGGGAAGAAACCTTTGGGATGACTACATGTTTGATACCTGAATTGTCACCAGTATTCAGTTCTACAGGATTGTTAGGGTGACTAAATTGATGAAAATACTTAGGTGACATTTTATCTATTTGTAATTCCTCAGATCCTTTCTGAATATGGATTTGGAGCTCTGTCAGTAATGCCTGTCAACTAATTGTTTCCCTTGTGTTTTAAAGTTTTAGGTTCCATTTTTTTATTCCATCTACCTTAGCCATTTTGTGTTATAACTGAGATTCAAATAAACTACTCCTTTGCTTTTTTATATCCTTGATATTATTCCCAGGGATAGGTTTATTTGTTCAGGATATATTTTACAAAGTTTTTTTTGTCATACATCTACTCAGACAGGTAGAATGATTGAAGTAGGCCAGGTATGGTGGCACATGCCTTTAACCCCAGCTACTCAGAGGCTGAGGCAGGAGGATCACCAGTTTGAGGCCAGCCTGGGCAGCCTAGCAAGACCCTGTCTCAAAAAATAAAAAGGGCTGGGATGTAGCTCAGTGATAGAATGCCCCTGGATTCAATCCCCAGTACCACACACACACACACACACACAAAAAAAAAAAAAAAAAAAAATTCCCCGGTTTATACAGAGCCCAAGAATTATGTAGAAGATAAAGAATGTCTAGGGCTGGGGTTGTGGCTCAGTGGTATAGTGCTCACCTAGCACGTGCGAGGCCCTGGGTTTGATCCTCAGCACCACGTAGAAATAAATAAGTAAAATAAAGGTATTGTGTCCAACTGAAAAATAACTATTTAAAAAAAAGAATGTCTAATTTGGTATCAATAGTATCTGTTCAAGGGGCAGTTCTTTCCATCAAGGAGGTCATATGTCCCACTTGTAAATACTAATATTAGTAGTACCGTTCACATAATGAGGGGGTCCTCTGTTCATGATGGATAGATTATTGGTGGGGGCTTCTAAGAGAGACATTTGAGCTGGCCCTTGAAGGATAAGAAGAATTTTTCCAGGGCCAGGGCTTAGCTCAGTGGCAAAGCGCTTGCCTAGCATGTGTGAGGCACTGGGTTCCATCCTCAGCACCACATTAAAAAAATAAAATAAAATAAAGGCATTCTGTCCCCACATTAAAAAAAAAAAAACAAGTAAAGGCATTCTGTCCATCTACACTATAAAAAATTTTAAAAAAGAAAAAAAGAATTTTTCCAAGTGGAAAAAAAGAGGAGGCAGCAATTGAGGCAAAGGTTCAAGAGGCATGAAATGCCCAGGAAACACAAAATTGTCCTGTGTCACTGAGAAATGGGCATATGGGAGATGTTGGAGAGAAAGAAGAGAAAATCAGGGTGTGAAGGGCCTTTTGAATGCAGTGCTTAGGAATTTGGACTTTACCCTGAGGGCAGTAATGACTAACAATTATATAGTGTTCAGAAAGTATTAACTAATCATCTGAGCAGTGGTATATATACCACTAAAAGGTCCTCATAGAAGAAAGAGGCATGAGGTACATAGCTTTCAGGGAACTTCTGCAGTAATGTAGCTGTATTAAAAGTAGGATAGAATAGGGATAAAAGAAGCTCTTTAAGAAGATATTTCAGGGCTGGGGCTGGGGCTCAGCTGTAGTGCTCTTGCCAGGCATGTGTGAGGCACTGGGTTCGATTCTCAGCACCACATATAAATAAATATATAACAACTAAAAAATATTTAAAAAAGAAGAAGATGATATTTCAGAATTAGAAGCAAGAAGACTTGGTAACCTGTTTGGTTTTGTTCTCCCTAATGTATTGAGCCAATTGCCTATAAGGGAATTTGTCCAAGTTATAAGTAATTTGTTTGAGAAAATCTAAAGGAAAGTTATTTAACTCTAATTTTCCCATTACTGTTTTTTTTTTTCTGATTTAATGGCCACATAAAGGATAGATGTGGTGGTTGTAGCCCTGCTCACTAATTAGTTTCTGAAGCATTGGTCAGGCATCTGTGTACAGTTTTTTTTCTGGGTTTACTGAGGCAGGGCCTTGGCTCTGGTTTGATCAGTGATGTAGGTACTCAGGAGTACCACGTGGTGGCAATGGCGTTGCTGCAGATGTTGGCAACAAAGCAGTCTCCGGGACAGCAGTAGAAACTTTTGTGAAACTGGAAATGCATTTTCTATCATAAAAACCTCCTGAAAACTATGAACTCAGTGTAGCAGGAAAAAGAAGATGGCTTGTTTTTAGTAGAGGGCAAACTCATTTTCAAGGATCAGAAGAAGAGGAAAGAAACAGAGGGTGGAACAGTCTGTGTTTACACTCCCCCAGCTTGCCAACAACCATCAATGTTCTTTCAAAAAGTGATGAAGAAATGTATATTTTGGAAAACTCCTTATGTACCTAAATTCTTTGCTTATCAAATACCTTAGACTTCACAGATTGCTTCTTGAAATGGAGCAATAAACAACAGGAGCTTCATAAGCAAAGAGAATCCATTATCTTGAATTGAAAACAGTTAATTGTCCTTCAGGCTTTCTTAGGGCTCTTTTTCTTAGATGCTTTTTTCTAACAGCACATTCTAAAATGAACTGCAGGTATCCTGTACCAATTTAGAATCATGAGGGCCACATCCCCAAAATTAGGACAGGGCTTGGCTCGGTAGTTGTTGAATGAACTGAACAAATAGCTAAATTAAAGAATTTACCTTTTCATTAGAAACTAAAAAGTCAAAAGAATCCCAGAAAAGGAAGAGTCTCATAAGCTAATAATGTAGGCAGGATTATTGATAGTATTTTTCTAAAATACCATAAGAAATATTCAACATTATATCAGTTTTTTTAAAAAATCAAGATTTTTGTGGGGACTAATTTTAAAGTCTTATGAATTTCACAGTACCAAAACTTAGAAACAGCAGTGTGAAATGTTATCAGATTTGTGCTAATTTTAAATATCAATAGTGCTTAAGTACCTGAATTATTTTTTCACTTCCTACCTTTATTTTATTTTATATTTTTGCTTTTTATGTTGCTAGGGATTATATCCAGGGCCTCACACGTGGCTAGACAAATGTTCTACCATTGAGCTGTACTCCCCCAGTGATAACCAGCTGCAAAAAGACATCACAATAAAGCAAGTCTATTTGTGAGAATTGGAGGGGTTTTTTTCCCCTTCTAACATCATTTTGAAATAATTTCAAGGACATTAATTTGCATGAATATGGTTGAAATAAAAGGTGTTCAGCCTGAACTCATAATTCCACACTAGGTGATTTCACTTCCCATGTTAAAATTAATTGGTGTGACATATTTTTGTTTTATGCAAGTTTTTCAAAATGTATAATTTTCTTGGTGTCCTTTCTTGTTTTTGCAGCAGAGGGATACCATGCAAGATAACCTGATAAAGCTCCAACAGGAAATGGCTCAACTGGAAGCAGTGCTAGAACAGCATGGGAGTCAGTCTTCTGACAACTCCCCTTCCCTCGTAGCTGACTCTTGTGCCCCTGAGGACCTGCCAGATCTGGAACAAAACCTATCAGGTGAAGGTCTGTAGTATCAGCCAAGTGCCAGTATCTTTATTATTATTTTTTTTAAATATTTATGTTTTAGTTGTAGTTGGACACAATACCTTTATTTTATTTATGTGTGGTGCTGAGGTTAGAACCCAGGGCCTCACACGTGCTAGGCAAGCGTTCTACTGCTGAGCCACAACCCCAGTCCAAGTGCCAGTATCTTTTTTTTATTATTATTATTATTTACTTATTTAGTTTTAATTTGAGGTAGACACAATATCTTTATTTTATTTTTAATGTGGTGCTGAGGATTGAACCCAGAGCCTCAGGTATGCTAGGCAAGCACTCTACCACTGAGCCACAAACCCAGCACCTGAGTGCCCATATCTTTTTTTTTTTTAGAGAATTTTTTAAATATTTATTTTTTTAGTTTTCGGCAGACACAACATCTTTGTTTGTATATGGTGCTGAGGATCGAACCCGGGCTGCACGCATGCCAGGGGAGCACACTACCACTTAAGCCACCTCCCCCTGAGTGCCAGTATCTCAAGCACTGTCCTAAGCCTTATCTCCTTCTGAAAAGTAGGCCTAATTCCAAAGCTTTATGACTTTAGCTCGCCTCCTGTTTACTGAGTCACTCTAAAGATAATCTGGGAGCCTTGGTTCTAGTCCCTGCTCCAATTATGTGCCATTTAGAGGGATCCAAGACATTTATTCATGTCCATGTCTGAGTACCTATAAGGAAGAGATGCTATGGAGAGCCTGTAGGAGACTGACAGTATAGTTCTTGCTCTTGGAAGCTGAGTGTAATTGTGGAGATTTGCAAAAGTTAACCCCATAATATCAGAAAGCTATTGGGGGCTCAGACATACTCTTTATAGCACTTTGTCAGAATACAAAGACATAGTTAATGTGCTTTCTGATTTATAAGAAGAGACCTCCTCTACTTCAGATAGGAGCAGGTTTTTGGTTTTCTGGATTTTTGAGGGTGTTTTGTTTTTGATATTGGAAATTGAGGCAAGCTTTTTTTTTTTTTTTTTTTTTTGAGGCAAGCTTTTAAATAGGGACAAACATTGACACAGAGAAGAGAGACTTGTTAGGGGATCCACATAGGGATCTTGGTGTTTAAGGACAGGCAAGGATGGTGAGCCCTCCCAAAGTACTTTTCACAGCTATTTCAGAGACCCCTAGCTGACTTAGTGTTGAAGTCCTTTCTCCAGTATTCCTTTCCACAGTCCTACTAGGGGCCTGAAGGCTTTCTTTAGAGTCTTTCTAGGAATTCAACTCTATATAGAACAGTGTCCTTGGTCCACAAGTATGCCTTGCAGTATTTTTATGTTCAGAAAGAAACAGTAACTCATGCATGGAAGCTAGAAACTCTGTTGCTATGGCAGTGCTTCAAAATGTATTTTCTTAAATGCTTTCTTTGTAACTGCATCTTCATTTAATTCTCCTAGATAATGAAGCTCAGAGTCCCATTCCTAGTAGAGTTCTTTTCTTTAGGGTACTCTCACAGTCTTCATTCTGAACACAGACTGGACTTTCAGTTCTAATGCCCAAGATATGAAATGTTATTGTCTGGCTTTGAATATCTGTGTAAATCTACTATCTTGTCTTTGGCATATATGTGTGTTCATCTTTTTTTTTTTCTGAAGATCTGCAGATAAAAATGTTTCTTTGTGAAACAAACAAAAATATTTCTTTGTAGCTTCATTTGGAAAACTTTTTTTAAATTTTTTTATTTTTTATAGTTGTAGACAAACAGATGCCTTTATTTTATTATTTTTTTATAATAAATAAAAGGATCGAACCCAGTGCCTTACACATGCTAGGCAAGAGCTTTGCTACTGAGCCACAGCCCCAGCCCTGGAAAATGTTTTGAGTATCACCTTGCTATCAACTCATGAAAATTAAAAGAGAATATCAAGAAAAATTTAAAAAGAATTTCTAGGCTTCTTCCTTGAGAATTCTTAATTAGTTGGGTGAGCCTTTTCCTCAAGATGATGTGGGTCTAACTGAAACTCAAATTTCTTAACCTGGGAAAAAAGACTTGATTACCTTCTGCTGTACTCATGACTTTTAGGTAGATTTTTTATTTTAAAATAATTTTGGATAAGTTGCAGAAAAGTTGTAATAATAGTGCAGTGTTCCTGCATATTCCTTACCCAATTTTAGCTCCTCCCTAATATTAGCTTATATTCCCATTGTATTTTTTGTCAAGTAGTAGATTATTATCTGTGTCTGTGTGTGTGTGTGTGTGCACGCGTGCACGCACGCGTGTGTGTGTGTCTAGGAATTGAATCAATAGGTTTTCCACTGAGCTACATCCCCAACAATTTTTTTGTTTGTTTTATTTTGTTCCTTTTTCCCAGGGTCTCATATATACTAAACAAGTGCTCACCGTTGAACTACATCCTCAGCTTAACTCCTCAGCCTTTTTTATTTTTATTTTTTAAATTTTTTTGTTTTGAGCTAGTGTCTCACTATATTGTCCGGGCTAACCCTGAACATGTAGTCCTCCTGCCTCAGCCTCTGAGTCACTTGGATTATAAGTGTGTGCCACCATGTCTAGCAAGATCTGGTTTATTTGTTGTTATTACTAGGGATGGAACCCAAGGGCCCTTTAGCACTGAGCCACATCCTCAGTCCTTTTATTTTTTATTTTGAGACAGGGTCTTGGCAGGTTGCTGAAGGTCTTTCTGAGTTGCTGAGGCTGGCCTCAAACTTTCGATCCTACTGCCTCAGCCTCCCAAGTTGCTGCAATTGTTGGCGTGTACCATCATGCTGGCCCAATAGTCTTAAAGATTATAAACCAACCAGGGTTTTAACATCAATGTCCTCCTATTCAGCATAGATATTCCGACTGTTTACAAAGGGTTATTCCCAATAATATTTGAGTACTATTTTTTTACCAGGTGCTTTTATTTCCTTCCTGGATTTCCTATCATTCAAACCATAAATGTTAACATTTGTGAGAATATGACCCATTACAGTGAAAAATATGCCTGAGCTTTTCTGTCCTACAATATATTTCATTCCCGGAAGCAACTGTTAAGAATTTCTAGGCTTCTTAGCCAGGCATGGTGGTGCCCGCCTGTAATCCCAGCGGCTTGGGAGGCAGAGACAGAAGGATCATATGAGTTCAAAGCAACTTAGTAAGACTCTGTGTCTAAATACAATAGTTAAAAAGGGCTGGAGATGTGGCTTAGTGATTAAGTACCCCAGAGTTCAATCCCTAGCACCAAAAAGAAAAATTAAAAAAGAATTTCTAGGCTTCTTCCTTGAGAATTCTGAATTAGTTGGGTGGATTGGTTAGGTACTTTTTTTTTTTTTAAAGTTTGTTTTGTTGGTAGCAGAGATTGAACATAGGGGTGCTTAACCACTGAGCCACATCCCCTGCCCTTTTTATTTTGAGACAGGGTTTCACTGAGTTACTGAGGCTGGCTTTGAACTTGCATGTAACATCATGCCCGGATGGGTTAGTTACTTTTTAAAGCCAAATTTCATTATGGGCTGTATATTTTCTATTTTACTATTTATTTTTAATATTTTTAGTTGTAGATGGACCTTTATTTTATTTATTTATTTATTTTATGTGATGCTGAGAATTGAACCCAGATTGAACTCCCACATGCTAGGCAAGCTCTCAATAAGTTACTGAGCCTCACTATCTCAAATCAGAAAGTTATTCTCAATAAGTTACTTGTAGGGGCTCAGAGGTAGAGCGCTCACCTAGCATGCGTGAGGCACTGGGTTCAATCCTCAGCACCACATAAAATAAAATATATTTAAAATAATAATAATAATATGTTACTTGTACAATGCTTAGTACAAAGTGGACAGTCAATAAATTTATTAAATGTTCGATCCAGCCCAAATTCCCTACCCATAAAGAATGTAACATATTAAGATCCCAGATGAGAGAATGATTTAAGGGAGTTTCAGAGCCAGGCCTATAATTCCAGCTGCTCAGGAGGTTGAGACAGAAGGATCTCAATTTACTTGACAACTTACTAAGACCCTGTCTCTAAATTTAAAAAAAATTAAAAGGGTCCAGGCATGTTGGCACATACCTATAATCTCAGCAACTCCGCAAGACCTTCAGCAATTTAGTGAAACCCTTAACAACTTTGCCAGCTGTCTCAAAATAAAAACAGGACTGGGGATGTTGCTCAGTGGTAAAGTGTGCCAGGGTTTAATCCCCAGTACCACAAAAAAAGGGGTTGAAATTTCTACACAATCCTGGAACCTGACCTCTGGATCCATACATTTATACTTTCTTAAAGTCAACAAATAGTTCATGATATCACAAGGTGTGGATTTGGCATACTGTTCAGAGAATGAAATAGAATTAAGGAAAAAGAAGAGCAGAAAAGTTTTGCTTTTCAAAACTTTTTGTTTGTTTGTTTTTTAGACTGTTAAGTTATTGACTCCTGACTCTGGTTAGCTTAAGGTAAATGTTCTGGTGATTTGTTTTGTTTTGTTTTGTTTTTGGCAATGCTGTGGGTTGAACCCAGGACCTGGTACATGCTACACTGAACTAAATCCCTTTATATTTCTTTTGAGACAGGATTCCACTAAATGTCTAAGGCTGGCCTCAAACTTGCAATCCTCATACCTCAGACTCCTTTGTTGCCTGGATTACAGATTTATGCCACTGCACTTGGTTCCAAATGGCTTTTTAGTAGCTGTGTTTATATGTGAAGCTTCCCCTTTCCTTCCTTTCCTTTTTTTCCCTTTCTTTTTCACCTTCACAATGGTTTGATTCTTTAGAAGCTGCACAATTTCCTTTATCAATTATCAATCTGTATTGGAAAGATAAATGACACCTATATTTATGGTTAGTTTATGGTTAGGACCTACTTATTTTCAGCAGCTGGTGGCTTTAGGCAGAGTTCTTGTGTTCCTAGAAACTTACGGTTCCAGAAAAGATGAGCATAAAAGAAACTATGAATAATGCATTTGAAGATTAACTCAGAAAAATCAATGATTATCCCCCCAGCAGTGTCTTAAAAAAGCAGTTTAATTAATAAAACCTTTTGTTTAAATTTTTTTGCCTCTATTTATGAATTTTAGCTTTTCTATTTAAAAGCTCAACATTAATTACAATGATCAGTGACTTTTTAAAGGATAAACACTTTATTTTTTTTGAACTGGGGATTGAATCCAGGGGCACTGTACCACTGAGCTATCTCCCCAGCCCTTTTTTATTTTGAGACAGGGTTTCACTAAGTTGGTTAGGGCTTCTCTAAGCTGCTGAGGCTGGCCTTAAGCTTGCAATCCTCCTGCCTCAGCCTCCTGAGTCACTAGGATTACAGGTGTGCACCACCACTCTTCTCTTTAAATAGTTATGCCTTTAAGCCACAATAATATATTTGGAGGAGTTAATAAGTAAAATGTACTAAAATGCCAGAACTTTGCCTTAGGTCTGTTATGTTTTTTCCCTTCTTATGCCATTTCATTAGTTCCTTATGTCACTTCAAGGTTCCTTATCCACTAGTACCTTTTTGTTTGTTTGTTTTATTGGTTTTTTTCTTTGCGGGGGGTGGGGGGGTAGTATTTTTTTGTACTGAGGATTGCAGCCAGGGACACTGTACCACTGAGCTACATCCTCAGCCCTTTTTTAATTTTGTGATAGAGTCTCTCACTAAGTTAGTTGCCCAGGCAGCCTCAGACTTTCAGTCCTCCTGCTTCAGCCTCTGGGGTTGCTGGGATTATAGGCATGCTCCACTGTGCCCAGCTAGCATCTTGTGTTGTATATTTATGTGTTTATTTTTTCAGCTTGTTTGTTTGAGGAGTTGGTTTTTGTTCTGTTGTTTTAGTAAATGAAAATGTGAAGCAAAATGTGACCTGCTTCTTCTTACTTATCTTCATCTGACTCCTCCAACACATGCAAAAACACTGAAACCCCCATCTCACACAGACTTGATGTATAGGCAGTGGGGAAGGAAAAGGAAATGTGCTTTGCGCTTTCTGATACTTTTTATGTCCTGAGGGGTTTGGGTATAATTTATTTTGCTGCAGAGATAAAAATACACATATTCCTATATTCTGATCATTTAGGTCCAAAAAATAGAAATACATGTTTTTTCTAGCCTTGACTCAGCTGAGTGTTTTTAGTTATTGAATTGTATTCTTTTTTGTTATCATTTGTATTAACTCATTCATTTGTTCAATCAAACAGGGTGTTGTTGCCAGTCACAGTGGTGCATGCCTGTAATTCCAGCAGCAGCTCCAGAGGCTGAGGCAGGAAGATTAGAAGTTCAAAGCCAGCCTCAGTAACATAACCAACTTAGTGAGAGTAACCTAACCAACTTAGTGAGACCCTGTCTCGAAATAAAGAATAGGGCTAGGGGTATAGCTCAGTTGGTAGAGTGCTTGCCTCACATTCACAAGGCCCTGGGTTCAATCCCTAGCACCACAGAAAAATAAAGTAAAATAACAAATAAAAAAGGGCTGGGATTGTGGCTGAGTGGTTAAGTTCCCCTGGGTTCAATCTCTGGTACCAAAAGAAAAGAAACAGATTCTTTTTAAGTTGCCCAGGCTGGCTTTGAACTTGCAATCTGCCTCAGATTCCTGAGTAATTAGGATTACAGACCTGACCACCATATCTGACTTCATTTTTATTTTTTAATTGTTTAGTTCCATTCGGTGCTAACACCTGTCTTGTACCACTTATACCTGTAAAATTCTGTCCAATATTTAAGAACAAATTGGAGCAGGGCAAGGTGGCACACAACTTGTAATTCTACTGACTTGAGAAACTTGAGGCAAGAGGGTTGCAAGTTCAAGGCAATCTTGGGCAATTTAGAGAGTCTGTCTCAAAATAAAAATTAAAAGGGCTGAGGATGTAGCTCAATAGTAGAGTGCCCTGGTTTTTATCTGCCAACCTGGAGTAGACAATACATCCAATTTGATATTCACAGATTGCTGCTTTTACTTTTTTTTTTTTTTTTTTTTTTAATTGCAGTACTGAGAATTAAATCCCGAGATGCTCTACCACTAAGCTACCTTCCCAGCCCTTTTTATTTTTTGGTACTAGGAATTGAACCAGAGGTCAATTCCCACTGAGCCACATCCCTAGCCCTTTTTTTATATTTTATTTAGAGACAGGGTCTCGCTGAGTTGCTTAAGGCCTTGTAATTTACTGAGACTGGCTTTGAACACGTGATCCTGCCTCAACCTCCTAAGCAACTGGGATTACAGGAGTGTGCCACCGTGCCCGGATCCTTTTTATTTTTTGAGACAATCTCAGTAAATTGCCTGGGTTGGCCTCAAATTTACAAGCTTCCTGAATTGCTGGAATTTCTGAACCACCACACCTAGTGCAGATCACTGCTTTTAAAAAATAAATATCCTGCTGGATGTGGTATGTGTACCTGTAATCCCAGCACCTTGGGAGGCTAAAGCAGGAGGATTACAAGGTCAAGGCCAGCCTCAGCAACTTTGGCTCTAAGCAACTTAGCGAGACCCTATCTCAAAATAAAAAAAGGGCTGAGGATGTGTGGCTCAGTGATTAACTGCCCCTGGGTTTGATCCCTGGTACCAAAAAAAATTTTTTTTTAAATATATATCCTCTGGCTGGTGTTGTGCCTCAGTGGTAGAATGCTTGCCTTAGCATGCATGAGGTATTGGGTTCGATCCTCAGCACCACATAAAAATAAAATATTGTGTCCACCTAAAACTAGGGAATAAAATATTTTTAAAAAAATATATATATATATATATTTTAATATTTCTATATATACACACACATACATATATATATATATATATATATATATATATATATATATATATATAACCTAAATTATCCCCATCAGGACAAAGAATTAAAGTAGATTTCTTTGTTTTCTCGTTCCATTTAAACAGTGTTAACGTCACAGAAAAGTAATGAATATCCTGTAAGTCTGAATCCTAAAAAGCTTTCTCCTGACAAGTTCTGGGTATCTCCAAATAGATCCATTAGTAAAAACAAAGAATTGGAAATAAAAAGGTAAGAAATGTCAAGTTGTGGTCTTGAAGTAACATATGTATGCACTGCACTCTTATTGTTAATTTCCCCCTACTCTGCAGGTTTTTCCTTTTCTTTTTCTTTTCTTGTAGAAAGGCATTTATAACCTCTCATTGCTCTTTAATACTTCCTTTATTTAACTGTATATAGGCTTTTAGGACCTATACAATGCATAAGCTACACATGAGAATTGTACAGTTACTTGAAGGTCAGAATACACTATAGTAGAATTAAAACCTAGACTGGTCTGGTGGCACATCTGTAATCTCGCTATTTGGGAGGCTAAGGCAGAAAGATTACAAGTTTGAGATCAGTCTGGACAATTTAGCAAGACCCTGTCTCAAAATAAAAAAGGTTGGGGATATTGCTTAGTGATTAGAGCACCCTGTGTTCAATGCCTAGCACTACAAAATGAAAAAATAAAATAGAATAGAACTAAAACCTGAGCAAGCCTGCAGGATGATGGTAGATTTCCCCAAGACATCTCTTTCTCTGATTGAAATGTTTGCCTTTCTAGAAAAAATTTGCCTGTTGATTTACCTCAGGAAATATTTAGAGTATTATTAAAGGATGTATGTTCAAAACATTGTTTATATATGACTGTAAAGCACTTTATATTTTAAAAAATACTCAAGCCATTAGGGTCACATATCTCACCACTCCAGAAAGTATAAAGAATTCATATTTATTAAATCCCTACTGTGTGCCTTTGTGTATATGTTTCTTACTTAACTTTGGGAATGGTGCTAGGTTGTCAATAATCTAACCACATCCTATTTTCTAAGCCCTTTGGGCTTAACTGATGTCCTGGGAATTAAACCTAGTAGTGCGTTACCACTGAGGTACATCCCCAGTCTTTTGTTTTGTTTTGAAGCCAGGTCTCACTAAGTTGCCTCAAACTTGCAGTCTTCCTGCCTCAGCCTTCTGCGTTGTTAGGATTATGGGCATGCACAATCACTCCTGGCTTCTAACCAAGGATATATTTTTGAAGCTAGTAATTGTGATGAATAATGAAAAGATCTGGTTTCTGTAGGCATGAAAGCCATGTTTAGGAGTAATGTCCTCATTGTCTTGCTTTAACCATCCACTTAATATTCAGATTAAATAGAGACGTTTATCATAGACCCTACACATAATTGAACTTCCTCCCTCTACTAGACAACTAGCAATTCAGTTATTGCTCATCTTCTGTCCACAGGGTTTGACTTTAATGCCTAACTCATAGTAAGAAGCCAGTAATTAAATGTTCAAGTAATTAATGTCTGAGCCCTTTAAACCTATTGATAATTATTTTTTCAAAGTCCTAAACACCTGAAAGAGTAGAGGAACTGCTTATGGTTGCATATTCTAACAATATTTAGTGGTTGGCTTTTTTCTTTTTTGGGGTGGGGGGGGACAATGCTGAGATTGAACCCAGAGCCTCATACATGTTAGACAAGCTCTCTACCACAGAGCTACATCCCTGGCCATAATAAATGACTTTTGTTTTTGGACATTGAAAAGGCAAGGCATAAGGATGATTCTGTAAATTCTGCCCAAAGTAGGTAGAAAGAATAAGTATACAGATGTCAACATTAATCAAATTTCTATCTTCGTAAAAGGTCTGATTCTAATATATTCGTGTGGACTCAAGTAGAATACTATATGGAATTTGAGTGAGTGGTGGTGTATAATTTGGTAAAAATTACTGATGTGCTTTTCAACAGCTAGGAGATATATTGCCTTAGAGTAACCCCTCAGGGGAGATGTCATATGTCAGCCATGGCATGTTGGCAGGCAGCATGAATCCAGACTTCTAGGAGGTCATGTGAGCTTTTTTACTAGTCATTCCTTATTTCTCTGACAGTGAACTGTTTCACTTATGCTTGGCTGCCTGGGAATTATGATCAGTCCTTTCAGAGTTGGTGGTGATGGTTTTCTTCTTTCATCTATCTTTCCAGGTCTTCCCCCACTTCTAAATCCCAGTTGGTAGATAATAGGTGGTCTGTACATAGTCACACTACGAGTCTTCAAAACAGAAACTCTCCCTCTCAAGAGGATCTCATTAAGATTGTTGATGTGGAAGAGCAAGAACTGAAAAAGTCTGAGCCACCTGATTTAATGGAACAGTCTTACTTGCCAAAGCAAGATCTAGGTAATATTTCAGATATTCTAATGGGAAAAACACTTTTTATTTTATTCTAATCCTATATAAAGGCATTCTGGTTAATCAGGAATATAGTCATAAGCTAGGCACAGTGGTACAACTTCAGATATACTAACCTATCATGGATGCTTCTGTTATACTGAAGCCTAATTTTGAAAAATAGCTTGAGTTAACACTTGAATTACTCCAAGTTTACTTGAAAATTATTGTATTTTTTTAATCTGTTTATATTGGTTTAAGTAACAGTTTTAAGAATGAAGGAGTCAGGTATACTCTAAATATTTTACTTCAACTATTAGATAAAAGTTCTAAGGCCCTAGAGTAAAGTTTTACACCTGCTTCTTTTTTTTTTTTTAAATTTATTCTTTAGTTTTCAGCAGACACAGCATCTTTGTATGTGGTGCTGAGGATCGAACCCGGTCCGCACGCATGCCAGGCGAGCGCAGTACCGCTTGAGCCACATTCCCAGCCCCACACCTGTTCTTTATTGAAAAGAAAATGGAATCCCAATGCAACCTCTTTATTTATGAATTAATGAATGCAAATATCCATATATTTTATACTTTATAAATCTCTTTTAATGGATAGTATCTTGGATGACTTTTAAATCAAAGTTTTAATCAGTAATGAAAGTTTTTAATTAATCCTCGAAAACACATTATCATCAAAGGCTGTATGTGGCATCAAATGTGGCATTTGGCCAGGTTCATTAGGGTCAATTTTAAGAATCTCAGACCTTTTATTTATCTGCTTACTTTCTGACAGAATGACACTTTTTGAAATGTCTCAAGGATGGTGCCTACTGTTTCTAATTTGGTAGTGCTTTCTGTTGATTTATTAAATAGAAAATGTAATGGTATCATTGTAAGTGCAAGAAGGAAAATGGAGTCTTTCTCATATTTTTAACCTCCTTCTCCTTCCTTATAAAAGTACTGTACGTTCATTGTCCACAATTTGGACAATATAGGAAATAAAAAATGAGGGAAATTAAAATTACCTGTGTTCCTATCCATTAACAATGAAACATTGCTTTTTTTTTTTAGTTACTTTACGTAAAATTTTAATTTTAAAATACAGTCAAGAGCTGGGGATATAGTTGGTATATTCCCCATTGGTAGATGCTTGCCTTGCATGCACAAGGCCCTGAATTCAATCCCCAGCACCACAAAATAATTAAAGAAAAAAAAGCCAGGTACTGCTGTATAGGCCTACAGTTCCAACTACTTGGGGGGATCACTTGAGCCCATGAGTTTGAGGCCAACCTGAGCAACGTACTAAGACATCGTCTCAATCAAAAAAAAAATAAAATAGTCAAGATAAATAATATCTTTTCTATCATCTTTAATATATTAGAAACATTTCTTCATTTTATTGAACATCAGCATTTGTATTCAAACTGTAATAAGGGAAGAGTAACTCCTTTGAAATAAATGTATCACAATTTATTTAATCTCATATTGGACATGAGATCATTTCTAAAATTAAACTATTATAAACAATGTTGCAGTGAACATCCCTATGACTGAACCTTTGCATACATCTCTTATTTCCTTAGGATGCATTTCTAAAATTAGAATTGTTGACTGAAAGTGTGAACACATGTTAAAACTTTTGCTACATAATGACATATTGTTAAGCCACTGCACTTCCACCAACAATGTATCTGTGTATATTGTACCTGTTTCTGCTCTTAACCTAACTTCACCTTTAATTCTTAGCCAACACTGAAATCTTGTAATTCAAGATTCATTGTCTTATAAATTAAATTTCTCTGGTTCCTTTCAGAGGGAACCCCTTACCTGGAATCTGGAATCAGCCTCTTCTCTAAGGACCCTGATTCTGATCCCCCTGAAGACAAAGCCCCAGAGGCAGTTCATGTTTGCAATGTACCAGCTTCAACCTCTGCATTGAAATTATCCCAGTTTCAAGTTGGACAATCTGCCAACAGTCCAGCTGTTGCTCACACTACTAGTACTGCTGGGTATAATGCACGGGAAGAAAGTATGAGCAGGGAGAAGCCAGAATTCACATCTCCAACAGAAAGGACCAAGCAGAGAATATCCATGGTGGTATCGGGCTTGACCCCCAAAGAACTTGTGAGTGTAACTATATGTATCTCTGTAATGACTAAAATTTAACAACATGCTACAAATAGTTTTACATAGTTTAAATAGTTATGTATAGTTTTATATAGGTACTAGCAATGAATAACCTATAGGAAGAAATTTATGCAATAAACAGAATTATATGTGATTTAATTTTCACTCCCAATTTCTGAAAATTTGCATCTAGATAAAGCTCAGGTATGGGATTTCTCATATATTTACTTGTGAAAAAGAATTATTAAATATTAGCAGAAAAGGCATGCTTTTGAATATGATATAAAACTTTAGAATTAGAATTTTCTTTTTACTTAATAATTCAAGTAGGTATGGCTCTGCTCTCTGAGAGGCATTTTTTCCCCCCTCAGTTTGAATTTACTAACATGTTTCTGCTTAACAATGGTGTTTTTTCAGTGTGTGTTTGTCTTTATCCTGGCTCCTAATACAGGTATTCAGTAGCCTGCCCTATCATTTCTGCCCTATAACAACCTTTGCTATTAGAATTTTGGCATCTCCTTGGACCCCTTGTGCCAGAAATGGGAATTGTTTCACATTGTAGAAAATACCCACTAACATATTAAGACCCTTGAAATCTTGTTTGTTCTTAGTTAAGCTTCTTATAGATTTTAGGCATCCTGGGAAATTTACTTTCCCTGTAATTGGCATTGGTATTACTTCATAATAAAATAATGAGTGAATTTCTTTAAGATAAGACTGGGGTGATAGTACGTGATTCTAATCCTGACAACTCAGGAGGCTGAGGCAGGAGAATTGTGAGTTCAAAGCCAGCCTAGCAATTTAGCAAAGCCCTAAGCAACTTAGCAAGACCCTGTCCCAAAATAAAATTTTTTTTAAAAAGCTGGGGATGTGGCTCAGTGGATTCAATCCCCAGTTCCAAAAAAAGAAGACAAGATAACACATCAGACTATCAATTGGATTCAATAGTTGGTGCCATGAACTGCACACAGAGAGGCAACCAAGTCATTCTGAAGTATCTTTCATAATATATCCTTCTTAGGATAAGAACCATTTCTCATCCTAACTTCTCCATGGATAGTGACTCAGAATAACATTCTCTGGTCTGATGGTCTAAAGGGCAAAGAAGCAACCCGTGTATGCCCTGATAGATACAATATTTAAGTGCAAGAAGGCAGCTGTTGATGTTCTCACTTCACAGCAATTGGCTCTGAAAATTCTTATGGTATATCTGATTAAATGGCTCTTGATCACTTGTCCACACATTGAGAATTCCCGTATATCCATTGAAAATTAGCATTCCTTATTCCTTTGTTTTGAGAGTTCAGGTTTTCAGAGATGCCTAAAATGATCTAATCTTTTTTGCCATGGGCAATTCTAAGCTGCAGATTAAACTATAGTGGCTTGGGTACATGCTGTTTTTAAACAAGCAAAGAGGAAAACTTCGAGCTCTTTTCAGACTTGCTGAAGTGTGATAAATTTATGATGAAAGCTACTGACTGTATTACACATGATTAATTCTGAAGCCTGTATTAAGATGATCTTTTCAGCAGTTGCTCTTCTAACTGAATACTGTTTCAAGGCTGAGGTTTCAGCAATTAATCAGTTCAGAATTGCTAATGATCCTGGCAGAGGGCAGTGGCAAAAGGAGGAGGATGTCATTAGCTTCTCTAGTCTGCCTTTTTTCAGTGCCTCATGGCAGTATGGAGTGAGGCAGCATGAAAGAAAGATGGCCTGACCTCCATTACAATATTATACAGCACATAAATATTGAAGTGGGTGGTGATGGCTAGTAAATGATGGCCCTTGGTAAACAAAGTTATTTGCCGTACAGTAGCTACCAATTATGTCAGCTGTGCTCATAATGGTTCTGGTTAATTTCTTTCACTACCTATTGATTTTTATTTGGTTAATAGATAATAGCTAAAGGACTCCAGATTTCTTTTGCAAAGAATGAGTCTCTTCCAATCCTCCTTAGAGAGAATTGATAGTTTTCGCACTGACCTTTAGAAACATCTTCACTGAGTTTTTTTAGCTATCAGAGAATCGACTCTTGTTTTTTAGCCACATTTATCTGTAGCATAACTTTCTGTAGAGGCTAGTTACCTCTTACTTTATAAAGTGAAAGCTAGATTATAGATAAATCTAAATAATAATAAATCTGAAGTATAGTTGAAAAGAAATTGTATTAGGGAATCAAATGATATCTGCTATTAATGATAAAATTTATATTATTTGAATTTTTGGTTTAATTCCATATCTGTTAACACTGTTACATTATATTAGAATGTTTTGCTCTGGTTTGTACATAATTTTTATTAGATTATTCATTTTTTAGACTTCAAGCATGTTAAGATTTAAAAAATGTACATTTTCTGAGAAAAATGGAGATATAGAGCTAACATAATTAATACTTAATTCATGTACTAGATGTAATTTATTATAATACAGCATTTGATTTGATTTCAGATGCTTGTACACAAGTTTGCCAAAAAACACCATATCAATTTAAGTAATCTAATTACTGAAGAGACTACTCACGTCGTTATGAAAACAGGTATACCAAGAACCAACCTATCTTCCTTCCTTCCTTCCTTCCTTCCTTTCTTCTTTCCTTCTTTCCTTTCTTACTTTTTGAGATAGGGTCTCACCAAGTTGCTGAGGCTGGCCTAGAACTTTCAATTCTGCTGTCCCAGCCTTCTAAGTAAATGGAATTATAGATGTGCACAACTGCACTGTCCTAAGAACCTTTATAGAATGTGTTGCATCTGCTGCATAAACCACATGAAGAAATAAGAGCCAGATCTTGGGCTGGGGATGTGGCTCAAGTGGTAGCGCGCTCGCCTGGCATGCGTGCGGCCTGGGTTCGATCCTCAGCACCACATACAAACAAAGATGTTGTGTCCACTGAAAACTAAAAAAATAAATAAATATTTAAAAATTCTCTCTCTCTCTCTCTCTCTCTCTCTCTCTCTCTAAAAAAAAAAAAAAAAAAAAAGAGCCAGATCATGGTAGCACACACTTGTAATCCCAGCTACTTGGGTGACTGAAGCAGGAGGATGACAAATTCAAGCCCAGCCAGGGCAATGTAAGTGAGACTATGTCTAAAAATAAAAGAGCTGGGCTATAACTCTGTGGTAAAGTGCTCCTGGATTCAGTCCCAAGTATCCGGGGATTAAAAAAGAAGAAAAACTTCAAACTAGGTATAGTGGTACATACCTCCAATCCTAGCACATGGGAGGCTGAGGCAAGAGGATCACAAATTCAAGGGTACTAAAAGCAACATAGCAAGACCCTGTCTCAAAAATAAAATGTAGGGGCTGGGGTTGTAGCTCAGTGGCAGAGCACTTGCTTAGCATGTGTGAGGCACTGGTTCGATCCTCAGCACCACATAAAAAATAAATTTAATAAATGATAAAAGATACTGTAAGGGCTGGGGATATAATTCAGTTAGTAGAGTGCTTTCCTCACATCACAAGGCCCTAGGTTCTAATCCCCAGCACCACAAAAAAAAAAAAAAAAAAAAAAAGATATTGTGTGTCCCTCTACAACTAAAAAAAATATTTAAAAATAAATAGATAAAATGTAAAAACACAGCTGGTGCTGTATCTCAGAAGTAGAGCACCCTTGGGTTTGATCACCAGAACAACAACCAAAAAGAAAAAAAGACTTCAAAAATAGTGAAGAATTCTGTGAGGGAGAATGGCCTGCTGTGTTTAGCATCTAGTTAAATACATTTCTCTTGTTTAAAACTAAATGGCTTTTACTTGGTTTTTTAGTTCTTCAAAAGGATCTTTGAAATACTAGGAAATAAATAGAAGTGATTTTTCAGTTACTGCTTTCAGAAATACTTATGTAGGGAAGAAAAAAGCTATGAAGAGACTGTATTTTTCTGTCCCTCTCAGAGGAATACAAGGCGGGTAGGATTCCCCAGGTAGAAGTTATGTGGGTGAAAATTTGTCATGTTGACATTTCAAAATTAGGGTTTCAACAGTGTTTTCTTCTCTTTTCACATGTTACCATCCAGTAAAGTAGATCTTTTCCATCTGCATCAATTACCACTGCTGACGTGGATAATTCCTTGAACACAATAGTGGAGCTCTTGAGCAGGCCTTGGCATCTAGAAGATGGGACAGACACTTCCTCTAGTCTTTCCTATCTTTTTCTTCGGGCTTCCAAAGATCCACATCTGCTGGTGATAATTAGTGATGCTTCCAGCCCCGGATGCTATCTCCTGGGATGGATGATTGATCTTGAGAGCAGGAGCTGGGCTCTTTCTCTTCTTAGGTGCAACTTCCTGACTTTGTTTTCTTCTTGTAATCCTTCATATGCTTTTCATTTTGCAGATGCTGAGTTTGTGTGTGAACGGACACTGAAATATTTTCTCGGAATTGCAGGAGGAAAATGGGTAGTTAGCTATTTCTGTAAGTACAATACAGCTTCTCCCCTCCTTTCTTTAACACCTCAGAATTGCATTTTTACAACTAACATCTTAACACCTGAGGTTTTTGCTGATGCTGTGTCTGAATTACCAGAAAGGTCTTTATTGGTAACACAAAACTAGCCTTATCTTTAATGCATATTGCTTTGTTCAGTTAAGCTGGTGATGTTGGGAAATGGATTTCTTTTATAACTAATAAGACCTAATCTGCTTCTAGCAATGTTTGCATATGAACTGAGAATTTATTTAATAGTAGGCAGAATTCCATGTGCAGCAGGTACTTTTACAATGTTTAAATTAAGCATCAACTGTGTCTCCAGGAGGAAATTTCTACCATAAGCCTCGTTAAAGAACTATGGCTTCAGAGAGAACCTTCTTCCCATGCTCTTTTGTGAATTGCTCAACTTTCCACCTTCACATAAAAGATTGTGTTCTTTTTTTTTTTTTTTAATTTTTTTTTTAAGATTGTGTTCTTCTGCTGTATGTAACCTGTTTTTTTCTGTGATCTCTTTAGGGGTGACCCAGTCTATTAAAGAAAGAAAGATCCTAGATGAGGTACGTATTTGATATTACAAACTAATCAAGAGACATTTGGTATCATTGAGTTACACAGTTAAGAAAAATTTATCTGCTTCCTTCCATGAATGCAGCACTTTCCATAAATTTTCCTTGACGGTGGAGATCATCAGGAGTGATATAGAAACCTGTGAGGTGATGCATCCCAGCTACTCATAAGGCTGAGGCAAGAGGATTTCAAGTTTAAGACCAGCTGGGCACTTTAGCAAGACTGTCTCAAAATAAAAAATAAAATGGTCTGGGCATATAGCTCAGTAGTAGAGCACTTGCCTAGCATATGGGAGACTAAATTCAATCCAGTACCACAAAAAGAGAGAGAGAGAGAGATCCAGAACAGACCAAGAAATTCTGTGTTCTCATTCATTTATTCTAGATTTCAAAAGAAATAATTATCTCTTTGAGGGAAAGGGAAAGGAATTTATAAAACAAAGAAAAGATTCATAAGGACAAGGTTGGGATAGATCTTTTTTTTTTTTTTTTTTTTTTTTTTTTAGAGAGAGTGGGGGAGAGAGAGAGAGAATTTTTTAATATTTATTTTTTAGTTCTCGGCTGACACAACATCTTTGTTTGTACGTGGTGCTGAGGATCGAACCTGGGCCGCATGCATGCCAGGCGAGCACCCTACCGCTTGAGCCACATCCCCAGCCCCTGGGATAGATCTTACATGTGTACACAAACTAATTCTTCACCATTGTTAAAGAAAAAGACTTTATATTAATATGCAAATGTGTCTCCTTAGAAATCAGATTTCTTCAAAGAGATGTTGCTCTTGATGATACTGAGAACAGTGAGAGGTAAATAAGATAAAGTGTAGGAGGAGGAATAATTTTAGAACAGCCAAGAACTGCTGGTGACAATAGATCAGGCAAAATAAAATTAGCAAAAGCAGTTTTAAAATATTATGTGTTATTCAGTATATTCATAATTAATTAAGTGACATTTTTGTTGGTTTTAATTCAGTAACTATTAACTGGGAGCCTACTATGTGCCAAGCACTAGGAATACAATAATAAACAAACCCATCAATTCTGTACTGTTATATATTTATGTTCTATTGAGGGAAGATACTCAATAAAGATGAATTTAAGATACCAGGCAAGGTGGCACACACCTATAATTCCAGTTTCTTGGGAGGCTGAGGCAGGAAGATCACAAGTTCAAAGCCAAACTCAACAACTTAGCAAGATCCTGTCTTAAAATAAAAGAATAAAAGGGCTTGTGGATGTAGTTCAATTGTATCTCACCCTGGATTCAATCCCCAGTACTCAAGGTAGGGGCATTGGGACACAAGAAATGCTCTGAAGAACAACAGACTAGCAATCAGCTGGGGATAGGGTCATGGAACCCCTTTCTGAAAAGATTGAGCTGAGACCTAAATGAAAAGAAAGAATTGTTAGATGCAGTGGCACACACCTATAATCCCAGCAGCTCAGGAGGCTAAGGCAGAAGGATTGTAGTTCAAAGCCAGCCTCAGCAAAAGCGAGCCACTAAGCAACTCAGTGAGACCCTGTCTCTACATAATACAAAGTAGGGTTGGGGATGTGGCTTAGTGGTCAAGTACCCCTGAGTTCAATCCTCGGTACCCCCAAAAAAGAAAAGAATTGTTTTTGAGAAAATGTAGAGGACAACTGTTATAGGCAGAGGAACAGAAAACATTAAAGGTCTTGAAGTAAGAATGAGATGGGTTTACTAAAGAAAAATACACCATGGATTGGGGAGGTAGCTCTGTGGTAGAGCACTTACCTAGCATGTACAAGGCCTTACCTAGCATATACAAGGCCCTGAGTTTAATCCCCAGCACAGAAAGAAAGAAAGACCAGTGTAGCTGGAGAGTAATAATTGGTGAATTACGTGTACAGGGCAGAGATTGGACAAGGGCCAGATCAGGTAAGTTTAGGTATAAGCCATGGTAAGGAATTTTATTCTTAGAATAACGAGAAGGTAAGAAAAGGTAGGTTTGGGGGCTGGAGATGTGGCTCAAGTGGTAGCACGCTCGCCTGGCATGCGTGCGGCCCGGGTTCGATCCTCAGCACCACATACAAACAAAGATGTTGTGTCCACCGAAAAACTAAAAAATAAATATTAAAAAAAAAAAAGAAAAGGTAGATTTGGAATATATATAAAGCTAAGATCTGCTAATGGATTAAATTTAGAGGATAAAGTAAAGAGAAAGCAAAGAGGTAATTCTTGGGTTTGGGACCTAAACAACTGAGTGAATGTTAGTATTATTATAGTTGAAAAGACATGAGGGAGGAGCCCATTGGGAAGAGGGAGGACAGGAGTGGGATCAAGAATTCTTTTAGGGGGGGATAGTAGAGGATAGGAAAGGCAGCAGAATACAACAGACACTAGTATGGCAATATGTAAATCAATGGATGTGTAACTGATGTGATTCTGCAATCTGTATATGGGGTAAAAATGGGAGCTCATAACCCACTTGAATCAAATTGTGAAATATGATATATCAAGAACTATGTAATGTTTTGAACAGCCAACAATAAAAAATTTAAAAAAAAGAAAAAAAAAAAAGAATTCTTTTAGATGAGTAGATTTTTGAGATTTATACTAGACATCTGGAGAGAATGGTTAAGTAAGCAGTTAGACACATTGTAAGAAGCTCAGGGGTGCAATCAGGACTATAAACATGGCAGTTATCTTTAAATAAATGGCAAATTCATCACTAGACTCTTCTTATTCAAGTGACTAGGAAATATTAGGTGTTCTTTCCCCTAGTAATAGCCTGTGATTACAATCTCGCCTTTATTTTTCTTAGTAATACTCTTAGCAATACATGCAGTCTTCTCCATAATCTGAGTTTCAGTTTGAATGTGTGTGTTGGGCATGCATGTGTGGTTCTGGGGATGGAACCAGGGCCTCATGCATGCTAGATAAATACTCTACCACTGTCCTATATCCCTAGCCCCAGAATTATTTCTAAGCATTCTGCCCCAAGTTTCTCCCCAAAATTCTAAACTCCCCGATCCCATTAGTAGTAGTAGTAGTAGTAGTAGTAGCAGCAGCAGCAGCCAGGGATTAAACTCAGGGGCACTCAACCACTGAGCCACATCCCCAGCCCTATTTTGTATTTCAGTTACAGACAGGGTCTTACTGAGTTGCTTGTACATTACAGGGAAAAAAAAAAAAAAAACACAAGCAAAGAACAAAGTCATCCAGTCCAAGAAGCTTAGTTGGACGTGTCCCTCTAGGTTGTATGCATATATACACAATATCCCATTTTGTGTGATTGAGAATGTGGTGTGTATTATGCTTTTCCACACATCATGAATATTCACCAATTCAAAATCCCGAAGCTACATGAGTATTTTTTGATAACCAAGAATACGCTACACCAACTCAATCTGTTATCCTTTCTTGGGGAGTTCCCATTCTTTATTCTCTCTTCCTTGACCAAAGTAATGATTATGAAAGACCTGTAACTTTCTTCACTATAGTAAATACATATTTTATCATTTTAGCTTCATTAACTATAACTCTCTCAGTGGAAATCTGAAAAGCCCTTATTTCTTTAGATGGCAATATACAATTGATTTAAGAGATCAGGAATTCTCCAGTTATCTTTGTAACAGCACAGTATTAGCAGTTTAATCTAAATGCTAAGTGAATATTTTGAGAGAAGATAGATGTTGAAAATTAAAATACATTAAGTCCCAGTGAGGTGAAAAGTCAATTGTTAATTTCTGTATATGAAGATTTGCTTCAATGAATTGATTTCAGCAGCTGAGATCCTGGTCATTTCATCCGGTCCACCAAAAAGAATGACTTTATTTATTTATTTTTGGTTAAAACTCTGGCAATTCTGGATTCTTTAAACAGACCTGTTTGTTCCACTTCCACTGAAGGAGGCTTCTCTTTCTCTGATCCTGATGGTTTGGGTTTGGTTTCTTTCAGCATGATTTTGAAGTCAGAGGAGATGTAGTCAATGGAAGAAACCACCAAGGTCCAAAGCGAGCAAGAGAATCCCAGGGCAGAAAGGTAAAAGCTCCCTCCCTCTTATTGACAAGAACTCCATGGTTCTCCATTCCAGCCAGCTTTGTGGCAGTGGTTTTCATCAGGTTAGGCACTGCTAGAGCACCAGCTCAGTGTTTTCACACAGCTCTTCTTAGTTCTCCCAGCCCAACAAGGCTAATAATGTTTGTTTCTATTGTATGACCAAGAGAACACAGAGGTTCAGAGAGGCTGTATAATTTAGTGACTAGGAAATGTTAGGTGTTCTTTCTTCTAGTAATAGCCTGTGATTACAATCTTGCCTTTATTTTTCTTAGTAATACTCTTAGCAATACATGCAGTCTTCTCCATAATCTGAGTTTCAGTTTGAATGTGTGTGTTGGGCATGCATGTGTGGTTCTGGGGATGGAACCAGGGCCTCATGCATGCTAGATAAGTATTCTACCACTGTCCTATATCCCTAGCCCCAGAATTATATCTAAGCATTCTGCCCCAAGCCCCCTGGGCTTCAAATTCCAGCTGATAAGTGGCAGAGCTAGGATTTTATAGAAGTGTAAATCTAAAACCTTTGCTCTTTCCACTTTACCATGGTATCTTTCTTAAAGCAGTGTAGTAAATACTATGAGCAGGGGATATAGAGGGCTATCTGCTGGAGCATATAAGAGGAAGTGGTTAATAATCAACAATAGCTGGCATTTATAGAACGTTTACCATATGTTAGGGAATGTTCTAAATCCTCAACCATATTTTGACTATCAATTTTACAACAACCTTATGAAATATGTACTATTATTACCTATTTTACCTATGAGAAGAGCTCAAGAGTTTGAGTAAATGGCCCAAAGTCACATAGCTAGTTAGTAATGAAACCAGAAATTGAACCCAGTCTTCCTAGCTCCAAGTCTAAACTCTCAACCATGCCATGGCTTCTTAGAAAGTTACAGAAGGCTTTATAGAGGAGAAAAATAGATTATTCAAACAATTTTGTAAATGAGGCCCAGGGAGATTCAGTGGCTTTCCCCAAATAATATTGTAGCAGGTGATGTGGCCAAAACTGTGTCCTTTTCTCAGGGAGAAGTTCAAGCAAGATCTCACACTTGTCTGTCAGGCCTGAGCCAGCTGCTTTCTCAAGTTCCTAAGTGCTTGTGTTCCTGGTGTTCTTTTCTTCTTTTCTCAAGGAAAAAAAAAAATGCCACAGGGCATTTCAGAACATCCCCATTAGGAGCACCTTCTGTCCTTTTACACAAACTTAAGCAAGAACCAATAGAGAGAGTTTTCTAAAGAAAACTGCTTTGGGAGACAATCATAAATCAAGCCTGGTGTTCTCCACCCTGGAGTTCTCAACCCCATCCTCACGCTCTCAGCCTATCAAGTAACTGTTGCTAATGTCAAGAAAAGTACTTGCCCTATTTCTTCCTCTGCCTTCTGCCCAGGGGAAGCTCTGTGAGAACCAACCATTTGTTTTTTACTCCATTTGATTCAAGGCAGAATTAGCACCAGATTCCTCCCACCTTCAAAGGAAATTCCAGTGCTTTGAGAATTTTCCTGCTTTCCAGGATGCCATTGCTGGGCTTGGTGGTTTGTGCCTGTAATCCCAGTGACTCAGGTGGCAGGAAGATCACAAGTTCTAGACCTGCCTGGGCAAGTTAGCAAGACCTTGTCTCAAAAAGGGATAGTAGAGTGCCCCTGGTGCCACTGAGGGGAAAAAAGTACCTGGCCAAAGGAATGACATTCTAAAGGTACTAAATGTCATCTAGTATTTTCCTCTAGAAGAGAAATGTATTTGTAGAAGTAAAGCTTCAAATTCCTTATCTCATGACTAGACATTCTCATCAGTGTCAGCCTGGATGCAAAAATTCCTAATCTGTTGTACTTTTCATGGTACTATTTGGTTCCAGCTGGCTGCCTGGGGAGAGCTCTTAGCATTATGATCATCTAGGTCCTATCAACAGGTTGAGGATGCATTTTATTCATGCAGATGGGAAGAATGGTACAAATGGAAGCTGTCACTTAAAACAGAAACAGGCTTGTCCTGCTGTCTTTTCTTTTTCCTCTGCCTGTAAAGTATGTGTATAGGGAGAGGGGGACACATTGCTGTGTTTTTAACTTCCTGATTTTTCTCTATTTTTGTCTTTTAGAGGCCAGATAAATTTGAGGCCTATGTAATTTTCTTTTTAGTTGAATAGGAAGTAGGAAGAGGGTCAAGACAATGAGAGTTGTCCAAAATAATATATTTTTTTAAAAAAATATTCACCTGCTGGGCATAGTGGCACGTTTCTGTAGTCCCAGCTACTGGGCAGGCTGGGGCTGGAAGATTACTTGAGCCTAAGGGTTTGTGAACATCCTAAGCAACATAGTAGGACCCCTATCTCAAGAAAAAAAAAGAAAATATATATATATATATACACACACATACATATTCAGGCTGGGAATGTGGCTCAGTAGTAGGACACTTGCCTAGCATGCAAAAAGCCCTGAATTCCTCTCTTAGTATTGATTTTTTTAAAAGTGTGTATTTGTTTATGCATCCAACTGACACAAATTTATGGGGTATTTTTATTTGTTTTTTTTTTTTTTTTTTTTTTTTTGTACAGTGCTGAGAACCAAACTTGGGGCCTTGTACCTGCTATGCAAGCGTTCTACCACTGATTTATTTCCCAAACTCTAGATTTCTTTTAAATAATACCCAAGTCCTTTTCTAAAAATCTGTGCCAATGAATTTGTACTGTCCAACACAGTTGCCACCAACAACATAGAACTATTCAAATTAAGATTGAAATATGAAATTCAGGTTATCACTCATCCTAACCACATTTTAAAGGCTTAACAATCACATGTGACTTGTGGCTACCTTACTAGCACAGATACAGAACATTTCCAGTATCATTGAAAATTCTTTCGTTAGCACTGCCAAACACTTGTAAGTGGAAGTACCCCTAGGAGAAGTGTGTGATCTGTCTTCAGAAAACCAAGCAATCTGATCAACTTAAGATACAAAACCAGTCCTCGAGTTCTCATTAAGAACTGCGTATGCCAGGCACAGTGGCACACGCCTGTTATCCCAGCGGCTTCAGAGGCTGAGGCAAAAGGATCATGAGTTTAAAGCCAGCCTCAGCAAAAGTGAGGTGCCAAGTAACTCAGTGAGACCCTGTCTCTAAATATAAAAAATAGGGCTGGGGATGTGGCTCAGTGGTTGAATGCCCCTGAGTTTAGTTCTTGGTACCCACAAAAAATAAAGAACTGTGTATAGCTGGGCGTGGTGGCACATGCTTGTAATCCCAGCAGCTCCAGGAGGCTGAGTCAGGAGGATCACAAGTTCAAAGCCAGCTTCAGCAATGGTGAGGCACTAAGCAACTCAGGGAGACCCTGTCTCTAAATAAAATACAAAATAGGGCTGGGATGTGGCTCAGTAGTTGAGTTCCCCTGAGTTCAATCCCCAGTACCAAATAAACAACAACAAAAAAAATCCTCCTGGGCTCAAGTGATCCTCCTGCCTCAGCCTCCTAAGTGCTGGGATTATAGGTGGGTACAACTGTACCTGGCTAGAAAAATTTTAATTTGTTAATAAAAGAGATTTCTGTGCCTGGTGCAATGACACACACCCGTAATCCCAGCATCTCGGGAAGCTCAGGCAGGAGGATCATGAGTTCAAAGCCAGCCTCATTAAAATTGAAGCACTAAGCAGCTCAGTGAGACCCTGTCTCTAAATAAAAATACAAAATAGGGCTGGGGATGTGGCTCAGTGGTTGAGTGCCCCTGAGTTCAATCCCCGGTCTCCCCCCAAAAAAGAACTGTGTAGACTGCATAATATGCAATGGCCATTCTCAAAGGAAAGTGAGACAGAGAGGTATTTGGGAATCAGAAGAAAGTCAGGAGAAAAGGAGCATGTAAACAAAAACATGACTGCTTTGCTGACTGGTCTCATGGTTAGTACTGTGCCACTCTGGATAAACATCAAATTTCAACCAGTAGCTTTGAATCTCTTGCCATCCAGGTCTTATTAAATATAAAGAAGTAATGCACTCTACTGTATGTGTGTGTATGTATGCTTCTTTTGAGAGTCTTTATTTTTTATAAAAACCCATTTACTTAGTTATAACCATGTTTCTCTCCATCCCTTGTCCCTCTTTCTCTCCTTACAGATCTTCAGGGGCCTAAAAATCTGTTGCTATGGGCCTTTTACCAACATGCCCACAGGTGAGGATCTTAAAAGAAATACAGAGCTCCAGCTCCAGCCTCTTTCTTACATGGTGGAATAGTATAGGCAAGATCACACTATCGGAATTCTTCAGATCAATGAGATATTCTGAAGTTTATTCTGTTTGCCCTGCTCCAAGCAAAAGAGCCCCTAAATGTCATCGTAGGGCAAAAATCTAGGCCTTATGCCCCTTTCAAGAGCTTGAGGGCAGTGAAAAGTTAGGATTTAGGACACAGAGATGGGGTAAAATTGTTGTTAGTGCCCATTTGGACTAAGAAAGAGGTAGGGATAATAAATTAGGAAGAAGATACTTTGGGCTTGTCAATGTCAAGAAAGAGTTCTATTCTTCCTAAACCATCTTCATTTAATACAGAGAAGAAAGCACAGCAGTTGCATAAGCCCTGTGAGTCTGGGGCCATGCACAGGCCCAGAGCAGGGGCAGACTCTTGATGAATATTTTCTAATTACATTTGACATTGAATGTGATGATTAGGACTGCTGTGGGGCTCAACTCTGGTATTGTTTGACACTAAGGCCCTTGTGTATATATAGATTTTGTTCTTTCTTTTCAAAACAAAGACTACTCACCTTTGCTTCCTGTGCCCCACTTCTGCCCCAGGAGCTCAGGTCCTCTTGCTCATGAGAAGAAGGCTTTAGCATTTGGTTACTGGCAGATGAGTGGCTACAAGGGAGACTGGCAATATAATTTTGCTTCCTACTTCCACTGATTATTGTTGGATTTTTATGAAATTTCCAAGTGTTCATTGAAGAATTTCTTCTTTTTTTTTTTTTTACTTTGGTATAGTGAAAAGCAGGTATCTCTAGCAGGTACCATTTTTGGAATGAGTTAGTGAGTTTTGATTCAGTCAGACAGTCAGGAGCACCTCAGCAATTCTCAGAAATGAACTGACAGGGAAGAGCTCATCCATGGATGACTTATTACAAAGCATGTCCAAAGGGACCCAGAAGACACCCATTGATTTTACTGATTCTCCAGGTGCAAGTGGAACATCTCTTCAATCTCTTCTAATTTCTGTACCCCTGAGTCTGCTGATTCCATCTCAGCATGTAGCCTTTCCCCACTGATACACTGAGTCTCTGACCAGGATGATGTATATTTTTTTCACTGGATGAATTATCTTCCTGTCTCTTGACATTTACAGTAATTACCACCAAGTATGGTGCTCTCAATGGCTGTGATTATCAATTACCAACACAGAATTAGGATGCAGGAAGGGAAGGAAGGTGGATGTTTTGTTACACAGTATCTTATCTAGCAACTTAGCAAATTAATGGAAATTAGATCTTGGATTTTTTTTTCTTTCAAGCATTTTTTTTTTTTTTTAAGATTATAAAACCTTATCTTCCAAGTGGACTTATGGAAATGGATAGCCAGAGTAGGTGGCAGCAAATCAGTGGCAAATTGACTTAGAATACTTTACAGCCTTTCTGTTCTTTGGGGCAGAGATAGAAACTCTCCCACTAAGAAGTCTTGCTGTAATCTTTCCTCCAGGGATATGTGGTATAGGGTTATATATGTGGATCACCATGGTAATTTTGGGTCTGATTGCCCTGTTTAGATCAACTGGAATGGATGGTGCAACTGTGTGGAGCTTCTGTGGTAAAGGAAATTTCGTCACTCACCCTTGACACAGTAAGTATTTGCTGCCCTGTCCGAGGGAGGACACAGTATTCTGTCTTGCAATTGAGCAAGGCTGGTACCCAGCAGTCTCATAATTTCCCAAAATGTAGCCTCAGGAGCCTTCTCTGACCATGTGCTTGTGTCTTTGGGGCCTCCATCTATGAGGCCCAAGTAAGAATTTGATAACTACAAGTATTTATTAATACACTGAGAGGAGGCGTCTTCCTTCCCCTTCTTGCCATGTGCCTTTCCCCCTCTTTTCTGTGGCTGCTGCCAATGTATTCTGCTTTAGAAACCAAGAAGTGGTGAAGTGGCAGTGTCAACACACATCTGTGATCTCAGCAGCTCAAGAGCTGAGACAGGAGGATCACAAGTTCAAGGCCAGCCTCAGCAACTCGAGACCCTATCTCAAAAAATAAAAAGTACTGGGATTGTGGCTCAATGGTTAAGTGCCCATCAGTTCAATCCCTAATACCAAGACAAAAAAAAATGGTGATGTAACTATTGCAAAAGCCCTGCTCTGACACCCTCAATACTTTTTTCTTCCTGGGGATGCAGGGTGCTCAGCCAGTTGTGGTTATACAACCAGATGCCTGGACAGAAGACAATGGCTTCCATGGTAAGATGTCTGCATGCTCCTATGTTATTTGGGGTTCTGTTGGATGGGTTTGGTTCACCACTTATCACCTGGTGCTTGAGTAGCATAGTTCTCAGCACATTTTAAATATTTATTGAAAGAATGGATAGTTACAATGTCTTTTTAGCCAGGTATGGTGGTTTATGTCTATAATCCCAGGGACTTGAGAGGCTGAGGCAAGAGGATCATAATTTCAAAGCCAGCCTCAGCAACTTAGCAAGACCCTGTCTCAAAACCAAAAACAAAAGGGCTGGGGGTGTAGCTCAGTGGTAGAGTAGTTTTCTTTTTTTTTTTTTTTTTGTGTGTGTGTGTGTGCGTGCGTATGTCCCTGGTTTCAAATCCCCAGTATTGCAAAAAAAAAAAAAATAAGTAAATGTCTTTTTAATATTGTTCTTGTTTAGTTTTTTTGTTAGAGAAGTAATCATGAACTTTTTGCATGGGGGGGAAGGGTTTTTTGGGGGAGGGGGCATTATCATTTTGAGATGTGGGTCTTACTATGTTGCCCAAGCTGTCCTTGAACTTGTGATTCTCCTGCCTCAGCCTCCTATGTTGTTGGGGTTATAGGCATACATCTCTTGGCCTGGCGTTGAAGGGTGAAGGAGGTTTAAATATGAATGTTTGTCACAGAAAACATAATCTAGCACAAGAACAAAATAATTGCTAAAACCCAGCACTTGAAGATGATCACCATGTTTTGGTTTTTTATTTGAGATATTTTTCCACATCATGTCAGGTGTGGCACACATCTATAATCCTAGTGATTCAGGAGGCTGAGACAGGAAGATCACAAATTTGAGGCCTGCCTCAACAACTTAGTGAGGCCATATCTCAAAATTTTAAAAAAAGTTTTTTTAAAGGTCTGGGAACGTAGCTCAGTGATAAACCACCTCTGGGTTCTATCTCCAGAACCTAAATAAATAAACAAAATTAAAACAAAAGACATTTTTCTAATCTTTAAATTGCAATGCCATTTTGCTCTTTCTGGTGGCGTTTCCTTTACCAGATTGTAGCCCACGCTAATAAAATTGCCAGAGGCTGGTTTTCACCAGCAGTCACCCCTCAGGTTTTTGAACAAGGATTTATGTCCTCAAGCATTGCTTATGTGCAATAATTTGGCTTTTATGTGATTAGCCCTAAGAACTCACATAGCCACGTCCCCAGAGTAGATTGATTAGAATCTGTTCTGAGAGAATGAACTGACACTAATCTCTTTGGCTCTGTCCCCAGCAATTGAACAGATGGGTAAGGCACCTGTGGTGACCAGAGAGTGGGTGTTGGACAGTGTAGCCCTCTACCAATGCCAGGAGCTGGACACCTACCTGATACCACAGATCTCACCCAGCCACTGCTGACTGCAGCCAACCATGTGTCTAGAACCACAGGACCTCAAAGATGAGCTTAAGAAATGGCCTTTCCAGGGGCTGGGGATGTGGCTCAAGCGGTAGCGCGCTCGCCTGGCATGCGTGCGCCCCGGGTTCGATCCTCAGCACCACATACAAACAAAGATGTTGTGTCAGCCGAGAACTAAAAAATAAATATTAAAAAAAAAAAAAAATTCTCTCTCTCTCTCTCTCTCCCCCACTCTTTCTTTAAAAAAAAAAAAAAAGAAATGGCCTTTCCAGCTGGGTATGGTGGCACACGTCTATAATCTCAGTGGCTCAGGAGGCTGAGGCAGGAGGACTGAGAGTTCAAAGCCAGATTCGGCAAAAGCACATTCCTAGCAACTCAGTGAGACCCAGTCTCTAAATAAAATACAAAATAAGGCTGGGAATGTGGCTTAGTGGTTGAGTGCCCCTGAGTTCAATCCCTGGTACCCAAAAAAATAAAATAAAATAAATGGCCTTTCCACCTTAGGCCTGAGGAACTCCTCTTACTCTTGAGTCTTTCCATAGTTATTAAATATTTATACACATCAGCCTGAAAAGAATTTCTGGCTTTGTGAGGGTCCCTTAAAGATTTTCTACTTCAAATGTCCCTTTGAAATCTGCCATGAGAACAAAATTGTAGCAGCTTTTCACCTGAGAAGAATTTAAAACCATTTAAATTCCACCAATTGAGCTAGATACTGATTCATTTTTATCAGCCCTGTTTCTGGTACTGGACTTGTTGACTTAGGCCTAGAGACATATAGTGGCTTGGCCTCAAGAGAATAGCTGGTTTCCCCAAGTTTGTTTCTATAAAACCCTGTGTTCATAAAGGCCAAGAGTCAGGCCCTTCAGTGAAAGGATCTGTGATACAACTTAGAATCAGAACAGTCCTTGAGCAGCTCTTAAATGTTAGAGTAGAGCATTGGGGAAGAAATTCAGAGGCAGATAATGAATATGAATATGAAATTTGAGAGTGAGTTAAAGGAGATCTCCAAAAGTCTAGAGTATAAATTGCTAGATTTTTAAAGAATATGCTCTGAAACAGAATATTTTCAAGAACCCCCTGTATCCAGAGAGAGCTCTCTAATTCCTCATTAGCAAAAAAAAAAATGTTTATTGTTATTGCTCCAGTATATAATCCATTCCTCTTAAAATATAAGATCTTTGATACGAATATGTCATGCCTGTAAAATGATGGATCCCACGGAAACGAGCTGTTGCTTTCTTTGAGGTAATTTTTTTCCCTTTGCTCCCTATTGCTGAACCATAAAACTTCATAAATAATTTTCCTTGCTGAAGGAAGAGAAGTATTTTTCATATACTCATTATCCAAAACTGTTTATAGCTGTTGGAAGGACTAGGTCTTCCCTTGTCCCCCAGTGTGCAAGGGCAATGCAGACTTGATTGTACAAAATATATTTTGTAAATATTGTGCTGTGAACACTGAAAATAAACTCAGTAGCAAACACCAAGAATGTTCTTGGAGCTTATACCTGCAGATTTTCTCTGTGCTTCAACTTCTTGGGGCAGCTAAAGGGCCTTTTGTATTTTCTACTGTGGCCACAACAAATTATCACAAATGCAGTAGCTTACAGCAATATCTGTTTGCATGCGTGTGTGTGTGTGTGTGTGTGTGTGTGTGTTTAAACAGGGTCTCACTGAGTTGCCAAGGCTGACCTTGAACTTGTGATCCTCTTGCCTCAGTCTTCCAAGTAACTGGATTTACGGTCATGTGCCACTGCATCAGCACAACCTCTATTTATTATTTCTGTAAGTCAGAAGGCTGGAGATGTAGCTTAGTGGCAGAATGCAAGTTTAATATGTATAAGGCTCTTGGTTCAATCCAAAACCAAGGTGTTGGCAGGGCTGTGTTTATTTCTAGAGGCTCTGGAGGTCAGTCTGCTCATTCATGTTATTGGCCAAATTGTTCCTTGTGGCTGCAGAACTGAGATCCTTATTACCTTGCTATTTAGCAAGGGTCATTCCAGCTTCTGGAGGCCACCCATATTCCTAGGCTCCTGACTACTTTCCTCCATCTTCAAAACCAGTCTTGCCTGGGCCAATTTTTCTCATGCTATATTTCTTTGTCTACTTCATGTTTCTAACTCCTGCTGAAGACTGTTCTGTTTTTAAAGGCTCAGATGATTAAGTTGTACCTACTAGGTAAGCCAGGGTGATCTCTCTGCCTTGATGTCCCTTACCTTATTAGCTACAAAGTCCCTTCACAGCATTATCTAGGTTATTATTAAATAACCAGGAGACAGCAATTGAGAGAGGACAGCTTTAGAATTCTGTCTACCACTTCTATTTAACATGCTTAATCCACAGATAACACTCTGTTCATCATTTCCTGGCCCTTACACTATTCAGAGATTGGAATCCTCTTTGAGGCAAAGAAAATAGTCATCACACAATTCAGTACTGCTGTATTTGTGGAGGGTGAGGAAAGAAAGAAAATGGAGCTAACTGCCATTATTATATTTTATCTGTTAGTCCTCATCATAGCCCTGTAAAGTGGGTATTTATCACCTCTTGAAAAATGGGGACTGAGGTTCCAGTTCCTTATTTATAAGATGTTGCTCAAAAGTTTACATAGCTAGTAAGTGACTGTATGGAGATCTGAAACTGCCTTTTCATCCCATCATTCAGTTTCCCACCTGAATTAGTCATGAACCCAAGCCAGAAGACTTTGGTTAAAGTCTTAAGGGAATTTTGGAAGAGGAGCAGGTTGTATAAGGAATTGGCACTTGCTTCTTTGGGGGGCCATGGTGAGAAACAGTAAAAGCAACTCCATGACAGGCAAGTAGACGTATAGGATTGGATCATGGCTATCATTTCTACTCCCTTCCAGCCTTCCAGCTTCTGACTGTATTTTTCAGTTGTCAGAGCCTTCCAGTTCAGCCTCAACTACATCAGGGCCTCCCTGGACCAGTGCCAGCTCCCTGTCTTCCTGCCAGGGAGTTGATTGTTCTTGGGGTTAGTGGTAAAAGCAGGTGAGAAGCAAGCAGAAGTGCAATTGGTCCAGTCTTCTGTCTTAGTGTCTCATTTCCAGGGACCAGTCATGACTCACTGGGCCTTGGAGATGAACTTGGCCTCAGTCTTCTGCCCCCCATCACCTGATGGGTTAATAGAAAAAGCAACATCCATCTTGTAGTACATTACTGCCTTTCCAGGAATCCTAGATGAAAGCAGATTTTTTTTAAGTCTTTTATAATTATCTCAAGGTTTTCTAACAACTGTATACCCCATCTGATTCATGCTCTGCAAAACCTTCCCCAGAATTCAACTTCTGGCCTTGTCCTCAGAGTGCCTGGCCCAGTTTGAGTCCTATCTGATGCTGGGATAAATCTTCTTTCCCTTGACTTCTGACTTTAAGATGTCCTTCCACGTTTCCACCCCACAATCTCTATCCCTCTCTGGGCACAGCAGCACTTGGGAAATAGTTCCTACACTGCCTTTTATCTCATTTCACAAAATGAACTGCAAAGAAGCTGGAAGGAAAAGAGGAGGAGGATTATTGTGAGGGCACGGGGGGGGGGGGGCTAGAGAAGAGCTCCAGCAGATTATCTCCTTGCTAAAAAATGCAACCAGCATCATCAACAAAGTATCGGCTCAAAAACATGCAAGAAAGGAAAAAAAAAATCAGTGTTGGGGTGGTCTGAGTGGAAGGAGCCAAGCTGCCCAGAATGTATCCTGCAAAGGCTGTCAGGAACCGATAAGAACAGCCCCAGAGGCAGATGGCACAGAGAAGAGCAGGGTGAGGGGGAACTGCAGATCTGCTGAAAGAAGCCTGAGAGAATGGGGCCTGCTACCCAGGGAATGTGGGGGCTCACTTATAAATGGCTGCAAAATGGCTGAGCTGGAGACCTCTTCACCATATTTCAGTGAGGCCTCACTCCCACTAACAGCCTGTAAATCTGCCTGTAACAAGGAGAAAATTAAAGAAATGAATCTGGGCAAATAGAAAATTAAGGAGAGCTGGTAACAGCCAGCTCCTGCAGAGAGCAGGGGTTGGAGGAGTATAGAAGACTCTTATCCTGTGCATTAGGATGATCGGGAGAATCTAAGCCATTATTTGAAGGGCTGGAAGGAATTAAGATCTGGACATTTCCCCAGTATTATGGTACCTGGGAACATGAACTTTGAAAACCTAGTTTCCAGGACCCAAAATGATGTTGTAGCTTGAAATGCAGCTGAGTGCAGTGGTTCCCAAAGCATAGCCTCCATTCTCTTCCATGTGAGCAGTAGCATCACCTAGTAACTTAAGTGTGCAAGTTCCCTGGCCTCACCCAGACCTGCTGAATTAGAAATGGGATGGGGCCCAGCAACCTGTGATTCTACAGCAGACTCAAGTCCCAGAACCTTGGGCTGAGTATAAGTCATGCTAGTTGGTATAAAATATTATCTGTGGCCCCTTAACTTTTGTCTCCAGCAGAGGTGAATCTTGGGCCTGTTGAGAATAGTCTGTGGGGTGGTAAGTGGTTCTTATCTACAAGGTTACAGCAGCTGGCTTCAGTTAACTCCAAAATGGCTCTTTAAGCAAATACAAAGCAAAGGACAAAAGATTAAATTATATTAGCAACTTAGGAGCAGAAGGGCCAAACTACTTTAAAAAAAAAAAAAAAAAACAGCTAGAGGTTTATGAGGTTTTATTAATATTTAAATTGCAGTGAAACCACAGCTGCAGCCTTTGACTCTAGCATAGAGATATGCAAATGTGGCTTTCAAAAGCAAGGCAATTTTAGACAGCCCTCAAGGTAATAAGAACAAATAAAACAAATGATTTTGTAATTTACCTTTATTGACTGATGTTGCCGAGGCATGAAGAGCCCATACCCTGTGAGAGTCAGCAGCAACTGAGCTCTCCAAGGGAAGCAAAGAAAGCCCACCCAGAGGGAGAAATGCCAGCAGACTCAAGACTGGTGACAGAAAAGACCCAAAGAAGACAAAACAGAAGGAGGTCAATAAGAGGGAAAGATGACTAACTTAAAATTAGAATGGAAATCCATCCCTGGGGTCTGTGGATCATCTAATCACAGGAGCAACAGCAATGATAGTCATTAATAATTATCATTTATAGGCTGGGATGTAGATCCTGGGTTTGATCCCCAGTACCACACATACACACATACATAAATTGCCACACTCCTACTATGTTTCATGCACTATTTCCCACATTCAAATGAGGAAAATGAAGCTTCAAGAGGT